TCTATAATCATGATTCCAGAATATCAATGAAGAATGCTACCCACTTCCAGACAAAGAGATTAAGGAATCAGTATGCAAAACGAGACACATTTTTGGACATGGACCATTTGGGAATTTGTTTTGTTTGACTCTACATATTTGTTATAAGAGTTTGTAATAAGAGGGCATAGAGGGGAGGGAGATAAAAAATGCTTAATTTAAAAATTAATAAAATTTTAACTTGGCTGTTTATGTGATAGATTCATCACTAGAAAATTATAAATTGAAATTCATGTGTGTATACATATATATGCATATATGTATACATATATTTCCACATTTCATAAATGGGTGAGAGATCACAAGCTTATGGCTGGACAGTGGGCCCATAAGCTTGGGGTGAATGAGGGAAGGGAGAGGCTCTCTTTTTCATATCATGCTGCAGACAGTAACTGAGCTCAAAGAAGGGGGGTTCACCAAGTGTGAGGTTGCACATCTCCTTTCTAGGCACAGCATCATCTCAGAGACAGGCCAAGACTTCCAGTAAATTTGTATTTTTAAAAAAGAAGGGAAAAAAAAGGATCTAAACCTTTGTAGTAACTCCCACCCACCTGGGCCATGTGGCAAAAGTGGCTCAAGTGGACAGTCGGGATCAACCAAACTAAGGTCAGTGGCCCTAGCGCCTTCTTTCAACTTCCCAGGTCCTGGGAGCAGTCTGAGGCATCCACTCCCAAGGTACCTGTAACTAATAACCCTTTTAGCCAATCATCTGATGCTGGGGGAAGGAAAGGGACCCACATTTCCTCTTCTTGGCATGGCCTTCCATCTTTCCCTTTAGTTGATAGCGCCCGAGGCCAGGTGGAGAGTGCATCCTGGACTCCGCCTGTTGAGAAGTGGGGAGGTAGAACCCCAGAGATTGAGAAGGGGACTTTGTGGTCAGGACCCGACCAGGTTAGACAGCCAAAGCTAGCTGGGGCCAATGGGCCTCCACCAGCATATTGACTTCCAACCTGATCCCTGCCAACTCTTCCTCACTCTCTGGTTGCTGATATGTGTTTCTACTTTTGAGAAACTCCAGCCTTGTGTTAGCTTACACAAAAGGAAAAATTGCAGCAGCCACTAATAGGCTTGAAGTCAGTTTTGTATCCCACCTGTGAATGAATAGCTACAATCCTGGGCAAGCCCCTTTCCTCTGAGTCTCAGTTTCCTCATCTATAAAAACAAGTGGTTGTTTTTTGTTTTATTTTTACCCCTAAACACATCCTTCAGAGGAAATCTGTTCTGGAGACAAAATTTCACTTTGGCTGAATAAGGTAAGTGTAAGGTTGGAAAGGTAGATTAGAACCAGGTTGTGAAGGTTTGGTTCTCAATACCAGACAGAAAATGAGTTGGGGACTGATGTAATCACACCTATGTTTGAGAAATATTACTTTGGCAGCAGCATGTTAAGATACAAAATATCTCAACAGATGCAACCCCAGAGATAACTTGGTTCAGAGATCTGATCTCCACAAGTAGCATTTGACACACAAAGCCTTCCAGCTTCTGGCTCCACCCTCTCTTTGCAGGCTGATTATACATGACTTCTAATATACTTTATGCCTCAAGCACAGTGGCCTGGTTGACGTGCCCCAAGCATGATGTCCCACCACCTACTTCCATAACTTTACACAGGCTCTGCTCAATGCCCAAAAGGCTCTGCCTTCTCACCTCTGCCTCTCAGGACCTCTAGCACCTTTCAGGGCTCAACACAAGGGAGACCTTTCCTGGTTCCCCCAGCTGTTACTGGCATTCCCAACCATCACATAATTATTTCGCATATTTCCTTATCTGTGCAGGGACTGTCTCACATTTGTATTCCAGTGCCTGACACACATAGATGCTTAATAAATGCTTGTTGATGGAAGCACAGGGGGCATATGCTCCCCAGAGGTATTCACCAGCATCCTGGAAGATGTCCTCTGCAAAGTTCTGAATGGAAGAGGGGACTCACTACGGCTAGTGAGGTTCTCTGGAAGTTTAGGTTTAAAGATGGCACCGTCTCGATTACATCATTCTATCAACGTTAGCGGTTGTCTGGTAGAGTAGATAGAATGCTCATCCTGAAGAACGAGGGTTCAAATCCCACTTCTGACAATTACTAACTGTGGGACCTTGGGAAAGTCACAAACATTCTGAGTCTCAGTTGGCTCATCCATAAAATGGAGGCAACACCATCTATGAGGTTACTGAGAGAACCAAGAGATGATGAATATAAAATACTTCACAATATTTAGTTAAGTAAACGCCATATAGTTTTAAGGCATGTATGAGACAGTGGACAGACCACTGGGCCTGGAGTCAAGACCTGAATTCAAATCCTACCTCAGAAACCTAATAGTGGTGTGACCCTGGACAGTCACGTAAGCTGTTTATCTCAGTTTCCACATCTGTAAAATAGGGATAATAGCACCTACTTCATAGAGTCATTGTGAGGATCAAATGAGATAATACAAAGCACTTGGCAAACATTAAAATGCTATATAATTTCTAGCTATTATTATTGACTCTTCAACAAGATCCAATTGCTTAAATCAGCCATTGGAAAATCAAGTGGATGAAGAATGAAGCATTCCCACAGTCATTGTGAAGAACGGGCCCGCCATGAAGACCAATTGCCACCAATGGGCAGATAAGTTCCAAAGTCCCTGGAGTGGCAGCCCCCCGATCCTGCTTGCAGACCATCCCCCAAAGCCGTCATCTGTGCTATGAAGCAACCCCTGGGCAACTTGCCATCTGTTCTTGTGGGTGCTGTAGGCCCAACTCCTCACAAGCCACAACTAACAGACTCAGAAAATAAAGTCCTCACCACCAAATCCTTGGCACTGTCAAAAGCTCTGGCATCAGAAACAGATGATTTTATCAGCAGAAATTACATTATGAAAGAAGGGACATGACCACCCACTTTGCTTCTGCACCTCAAGGACCAGGGTCCCTTTCCATCTGACTCACAGCTAAAATCTGTGTGTGATCTCCCCCACCAGAATGTGAGATCTTAAGAACAGGGACTCTTGCTTTTCCTATGTAGGCCCCCAGTGCTTTGTGCTCAACAAATGCTTTTTCCATTCATTCGTTGCTCATATCATGGTGTGCAGATCCATGGTAGCCCTTGGAGTCAGTTCATCAGAACATATTCAGAGGGTCCCAAAAATGTCTTGGTGCAATTTTAAGAAGGCTTAAAACAGCACCACATAAACACACATGTGCATATACCTATGTGCACACACACACCCCTATAAGTTTGTGTTATATGTTTGTGCACATATATATATATATATACATGCATGTTTTTGAGTGTGCACATACGTTTATACACAAATGTGTATATACGCTTACATCGTGCATGTGTTCATACAATATTTGTGTGTATGTACACACACACATCTTGGACAGGTACAAGAGACAGGCAGTGAACTGGGATTAAAGTGAACAGGAGGAGGCAAACAGGCTACAGAATGAGCAGAAAACAATGCAATGCTCTCAGTGATCTCAGGCTGATTCCTGCCACTTCAGCCCATCTTCATGTTAACACCCATGTTTTCCCACTGATTTGCATGGCTAGAAATCCTACATCACCACAATCTCTCAAGAATCAAAACTATGAGAGAACCAAAGAAGAATGACAAGCTGCATGTATATGTGTGTGTGTGTGTGTGTGTGTGTGTGTGTGCATGTGCATGTGTGCGCACACACTGCCAATGGATAAACATTGTAGAGGTATCAAACTGCCCCAAACTACCCAGTCCCACCAGAACCAGATTAAAACATAACTGGGAAATGTCCAACAAAATAAATAAAAATAAAATACAACGTGAATAATGTTAATTTGTGGGGGTAACACATCCCACCTGCTTCTATTTGAGTCTGACACAAGCAGTATAAAGCCACTGTCAAGACTGTTGTCTACAAAGGAATAAGGATCCAGGGGATGGCCTTCAGCACCCTGGATAGATCATATGGGGAGATTTTATTCTTGCTGCCTAGAGCAGGAATGTAGGGGGAGTGGAGGGAATGAGCATAAGGTTGGTACCCAAAAAAAATAGGGCTTCTCACCCTCCCATTACCTACAGGGCACTGGGTTGGTCTGAGGACCACTTCGCACTCAGCAAACATGAATGACCCACCACCCCACCATGTTCTGTCTTCAGTCAGTCTTTGTATGCTCAGCATAATGCACAAGGCACCCAATGAATGTGATGCTAAAAATGCAGGGGCTGGGTATGATGATCTCTAAAGAGCCTTCTCAACTCTAAGGGCTACCATCCACTGGGCACACCTGGCCATGAATGTGGACCCTCAAGTAGACGACCTCCCTTTCTCTCCTGTCTCAGACCCCTGGCTGCCAGAAGGAGAGAGTGAAAGCTGCTGCCCTCTGAGGCACTGTGGGGGACTGGCTTGGTCCCAGTGTCTGCACACGGCCATCCCTTTGGCCCCCACCCCTGCCTTCTACCACCAACACCATGCATATAGTGCTGAGGAAGAAGCTGCTTTATTGAGGGGATGATGCCCCATGCTAGGGCTGAGCACTCCTCCCCTGGGCCAGGCCAACCCTGCTCCTTCCCCCCACTACCCCCAAAGGAGGGAGCAGCTAAGGCCAGGGGCTTGGGGGAGCCACAAGTAGGGGATGGGAGAGGGTTAGCATTATGGCTTTACACAAGTAGTGATATTCTTATCTGGGACATGTCTGTGGGAAGGTGGGATGAGGCAGCAGCAGGCAGAACCCTCAGGGTGTCAGGGAAACATGAAAAGGAGTAGAGGGAGGCAGATGGAGCTAGGAGATGAGGCGGCCGTGGAGCCGGTGCAGCTGTTCGTGGGTCAGCACCAGTCGGTGCCGCTGCCCAAGGCCAGCGGAGCAGGGGAAGGTCACTTTGCCCACATATACAGTGTCTTCTCGTTTCTCTTCCTTGGCCTGGGAGGGAAGAAAAGAAGACAACGTGCCCAGTCAGGGAGAGTCAGGCATACTGAGGTGCTGGAGGATCCTCATGCTCCCTCCCTCCCCCCAGTCTGCATGCCCCACTTCACCCTTACCCTAAGGAAGGCTGATGAAGGGAAAGTGGCAAAGTCAGTGGGGACGGTGGCTCCTGGGCGCTGAGACACAGTCTCCTTCATCACCTCATCCTGTGGGCAAGAAATGGGGACCACAGATTATGGGGGACAGAAAGAAGCCACCAGCTTTACAAGCCTTCCTTCTCATGGACCGGGGAGGCCTGGCCTTCTACTAGCTCAAGTCTTATCTTTTCTAAGGCTTCCCTTTACTGTCTGAGCCCCTTCCCCAGGGCTGGTGGGAAAGAGGCCGAGGTTCTCCTAACTTTCTTGTCTGTTCTGATCACATATTGACTCATGCCTCCTCAGCCACACTTGAGTGCTTCCTGAAGGCAGTGCCAAGGCCAGTCCCAGGGTCTTCCTCACGATGTCTGGCGTCTACGCACCCAGGAAGCGGGGACCCCGGTGTTGGCAGGAATAACCTGGCTCAGGGATCACCAAAAGTACCGTTGAGACATGGGGAGCAGGCAGTTGGGGGGGTGCTCTAACCTGCAGTTTGTCGATGGTGTCACTCAGGGATTGGAGCTGGGCAAGCTGTTCCAGAAGCTGGGCCCCAGGGCTCTTTGTAGCTGGAAGGTGAGAAAGAAGCTAGTGAGACCCACAGACCAGTTGAGGATGGGAGGACAGAGAAGGGATGTAGGGCACAGAGAAGTACCGGGTAGAAGGATGGCCCCCAATCAAGACTTCTTTCAGTGCAGGGGGGTGCTTGAGTACCCTAGACCCAGGGGACAAAATGGGAAGGCTGGGTTCTTACCAGGGCTGGACCTTGTGATATCTATCACCCGTGTGCACGTGCTGAGCTGCTGAAGTGTGTCCAGCAGCTGGCTAGTTTTCCGGTACAAAGTTCCAGCTGCTAGTTCGCTATCTGGGCCTTCCCGGACTCTGGGTGTGAGCTTGGCCACATGCAAGGGAGGAAGAGCTGCCAGTGCTGCCTTCATCTGGGCTCCCTAGGACCAGGAAGAGAGGAGAGATGAGATGAGGGGAGGGGGCAGAGGAGGAAGCTGCTCCTAGCAACCCAAACCAGCCCGGAGGAGCCTTTCGCCCTCAGATCACATCCTCCCATCCCCTTCTCCATCAGCCAGGCCGAGCCCGGGCTCCTACTCCTTGCCCCATCTAGTTCCTCCTGTTCCCATTACCTTGAGGGTGCTGTTCGCATGCTGGAGCTGGGAGATGTGCAGCCTCATGGCTGAAATCTGCTGGAGCAGCAGCGGGGAGTCCTTCACCGGCCCCGGGCCAGGGACATTCGCCAGAGGCTGCCCTGCAGCCCCTCCTGTGAGGACAGACATCAGGAGAGCCCTCACAAGTGCACAGGGATCTCAGGGCTCAGAGCTCATCCCCTGCTCGGTCCCCAACCTTACACTTGCCCCATCTTCACTGCCCCCTCAAGCCCATGCCCACTAACACTGACCATTGCCCTACCAGCCCCGAATCCCCAAAGACAGGGAAGTCAGGCACTACCCCCAATCCCCATCAGCATCCAGGTAAGGTCTATACCTCGCGGCTGTTCTTCTGTGGCCAGGCCAGCCCATGGGGAAGGGGAGAGAGGAGAGAAGAGACACACATGTGACAGGGTGTTTCAAGGTGCAAGGAAAAGGAAAGGAGCAGGGGCCTGAATCGACTGTCCTCAGGTGCAGGTTTATGCCCTAGCTTATATACCACAGTCTTCGAGTTGCCCTTATGTTCCCCCCACAACTAGGGAGGCCTCCACACCCTCCCCAGGGTTTCCTGGTAAAGGGGCCCTGCCCCCCATAGAAGGCCCTTGAGCTTTGGCTTCCATGTACATTCCTCTATATTTTAAGGAGGCAATGACAAGGTGACTTGGAAATCTTCTCTTCCCCTCCCCAATCTGTCCCCCCACCACACACAGCTGCCCAAGTTGGGGGGAACCAAGAGGGAAGGGAAAGCCTAGCTTTAGCATAACAGGGCCTCTGCAGATGGATCCAGGGCACTGCGAGAATCACAGGGAGGGTCAACAGTTTGGATAGGGAGGATAACAATGGCCCTAAGGGGAGCTGGTGGCAAGCTAAGGAACTGGACAGCAGGAATGGGGATGCTCAGGAGGAGAAGCGGGGGGGAGGAGGGGGGAGAGTGCCCCAGATCAGCTCAGCCTGCCTGGACAGGCACCTAGAGCAGGCAGGACCTCTGTTTAGGGCACGGAGAAGAAAGGACAGAGCACGATAGCTGAATGTCCAAGACCTGAAGCACCCTTGCGCCAGTATGGTTTAATGCGGGAGAGGGATTCAGAACCAGGGGGCCTGGATTCAAATCCTGCCTCTACTCCTCACTCCCTGCACAACTGCCATGTTCCCCCTCTGGGCCTCACTTGCCTCATCTGAGTAATGGGGGGGTGGACTAGCTGGCTTGCAAGATTCCTTCCAGTTCTAACTCAATGCACATCACAGAAAGCCTAGAATGCGCTGGAATCTGTGGCAGAGGCAGGGCCACCTCACTGCTCCTCACTCCATGGTCCAAGCCCCTAGGATCACCCCCCCCCCAGCCTCCTGCCCGCTGCTCACCACCAGTGATGCCAGAGACGAGGGTAGCGATGCCCGAGGGCGGTGCCCCTCGCAGCCCCCTCAATCGTCCTTTTGGACTGGCTGCTCAGGCGCTGCTTCAATTCCAGCTTCTCAGCCTCTAGCTGGTCAATGTCTGCCTGGAGGGTGTCCATCGTCTCCTCAAACTCTCTGTAAGACACGCGTGGAGCCCATGGCACCCCAGCAGGTGCCCAGGGTGTGGCATGCCAGCCCCCAGGAGACCCCGAGAAGGGAAGCGTGCATGCGCACGGAGGAGCCCAGGGGCAGGGGCCAACGCACTTCTCCTTCTTTCGTAGCAGGGCCTGAGTTTCCTCTAGTCGACTCTGCACCTTTTCGGTCCTCTCGTCTGCGTCCTTGGCTGCACTGTCCAGCTTCTTCTCCAGGAGACTCAGGCGCACGTTGGCCTCACTCAGCTCTTCTCCCTGGAGGCCATGGGGTCAGCTCAGCTGTCCCCTCTCTTCCTGAACCCCCAGTGTTTGTGTCCAAAACCCAGCACAGACGGTGCCTGTGGAGGCCTGTGCTCCCAAGACACCTGACTGTCCCACCTCCCCCCACCCAGGCCTCGACCAGGCCCCGGGTACTGGGCCTACCTTGATCTTTAGGGACTTCTTCAGTTCCTTAATGACAGTCTCCCGGTCCTCCAGCTTCAGCCCCAGCCCCTCAGCATCAGTGATCTCTGCACGAAGGGCTGCAGCCCGAAGTTCAGAGGGGGGAGGCTATAGGGAAGAGGGTGGGGTGAGGATCCCTAGAGCCAAGACACTGTCCCCACAGGTAGCACTGATCCCAGCAATCACTGGAACCTCTCCCCCACCACCTGCTGCTGTGGTTCCTACCCTTCCTGCCAGCCTCTAGGAAGACTGAGGCAATGGCCATTCCCTAAACCACCAACCAGTGGGGACTTCAGCCTCTTCCTGCCCCAGCCTTGCCCAGGGCCTCCCTGGGTGCTCCTCACACCCTATCAGGCACCTCTTGGCCTACCTTGCTGGGGGGCCTCTCTGCATCATATTCTCCCTCCTGCATAGCTGTGGCCAGCTTGTTCATGGTGGCAATGAGGATGCTGCAGGACTGTCGAAGGCACTCATAGGGGCTGCTTGATGGAGACCCATAGATCTGTCGGGAGCCCGGAGCCATTTTGTCAGACCCCTTTTGGGAGCCATCACCAGCTCCCCTCTCCCAATTCTTCTCCTCCCTCCTTCCCCCACCTCCTCATTCCTCGACCACAACTCCTGAGACCTAGCCCAGGCAGTCCATTTCTACCTGCTCCCCTGCCTTGAAGGCCAACTCTTCCAGGGTTCCAGAGGGCAGACCCTCGTTCTCAGCCAGGGGAGCAATGAGTTGTGCAGCTGCAGCAGCGACCTCCTGTAGCACAGCCACCACCCACGTCAGATGCTTTCGACAATCCAGAAGGGTATCTGACACCTGGAGCAAGGTAGGGTGGCGAAGGGGGAGTAGGTTGGGGGGGTCCTGCCCAACTCGACCTCCACAGGCCCCAGCCCCACCACAGTGCCAGCAGCGGCAGGTGTCATCTCTGCCTCCCTGCATCCCGGCACATCTCCACCTGCCCGGACCTGAGGCCCAAAACCAAGAGCAGCTGGGATCCCAGGTGCATCTGTGCCCGGCATCCGCCTGCGGATCTTCTTGCAGAACTGTCGGATGTCACTACAGGATGTTTCCAGGTCCCGGAGCAGAAGGGACAAGTCTGAGGCCTCCTGCCCACCCTGGATGCAGAGAGGACATAAAGTCAGCACTAACAGGGGAAAAGGAATCCCTTAAAGAGGAAGTTAAGAAGGGAGGAAGAGAGAAGGGGAAGTCAAGTTGAGGGGAGGGAAAGGGCAGGAGTGAGTCTGCAGGAAAGAGGAGCCCAGGGTCTACAACTCACCTGTAGAAAGGCATGAAGCCTCCCCACCTCCACAGCCATGCAGTCCAGTGCACTCTGGGTGAACTGTGAAGATATCAGATGCAGCCCATGAGTGCACAGACTACTACTTCTTTCTGCCCCCCAAGTGTTACTATCAGCCTCACAGCCCCAGGAGTCCTCAGACACAAACAGGCTCCCCAGCTCTCATCTCCAGCTGTCCTGGCCACAGGGAGGGGAAGGAGGAGGGGGAATGTCTGCAGATGGGGCTCCTTTCTGAGGAGGCTGCTTCAAGGCCCTTCCGCACCCTCTCTGACCAGCACCTGCTTGAGGCCCTCACCTTGATGTGGTCAGCCAGCTGCACAGTACAGTCCTCAGGCTGCTCAGTAAGATGGATGCTATACAGGTGCTAAGAAAGAACATCAGACAAGCTCAGCATTGGGGTCAGGCTTCCGCTTATTATCCTTTTTTGCCCCATCACCCAAGACCCAGTGAAAATGACCCTGGCTTCCTCTTATCTCCAGCCCTTGTGTAGGGAACAAGGTGGGAGAGAGAGGAAGGAAACAACTTATTAAGCACCCACTACATGCCAGGCACTGTGCCAAGCGCTTTACAAATATTATGTCATCTTATCCTCACAACCACCCTGGAAGTGAGGCGCTACTATTATTCCCATTTTACAGCTGAGGAAACTAAGGCAGATAGAGGTTAAGTGACTAGTCCACAATCACACATTCTATTGAATGTCTGAGGTGGGATTTAGACTTGGAGACTTTCTGACTCTGGGCCCAGGGCTCTATCCACTGTGCCACCTGGCTGCAGTATGGACACTTACTCCTCAGGCTGGAATTCAATTAAGCCCGCCCTCCCTCTCCAGCTTCGTCTCAACGCTTTCCTACAGAGAGGGAAGGCAACACCTGCAGACTGTTGTAATGGAGGTTAGATTGTGGCAAGGGCCTGCAGAGCAAGCAGAAGCAGCAGATGAGTCAAGAAGGGAGAGTCATTTTGAGGTGTAGCAGGCTTCCTGGAGGAAGAGAATATGTCCTAACCATGAGGGGCGGGCCTGCATGAATTCACAGAAGACAGCCAAAGACAAGGCTCCCTTCCCACAAAGCACTGGACCCCTTCATCCTGCTAACAAGATGCCTTAGAAGTGAGGAGTCTCCTGGGGCCTGCTGACAGTGGTCTCTCCCCTAAGAACTGACTGATGCCTCCACAGAGCCCTCTTTTTCCATTAGAGCCACAATGCTGGGGGACCTCTAAGTCTTCCAGAAAAGAAAGACAGTGAAACTGCAGAAGAGGCCATCTGCTTTAACAAGCAGAAGACTGCGGGCTTTATGTCCCACGTGACCTCGGGCAGGTCCCTGACGCTGTCTGGCTCCCCCAGTACTATTATGAGGACCAGATGACACAGTGCAAAACCATCTGCCAGTCATCATGAAAACAAGCAGCTCAAACCCTGAGGCATCACCTTACACTGTCCAGACGGATAAAGATGACAAAGATGGGAGGAGTCAATGCTGAAGGGGATGGGGAAAGATGGGCACATGAATGCATTGTTGTGAACTGCTAGGACTATTCTGGAAAGCAGCTAGGAATTACACAAATAAAGTGGCTACAATGTCCACAGAGTATCCGTTGCAAGGCATATACTCCGAAGAGATCACTGACAGAAAGAAAGGCTCCACATCCACCAAAATATCGATAGCAGCATTTGTTATGGCAGCAAAGAACTGGGAACAAAACAGACGTCCGTGGACGGGGAAATGGCTACACAAATTGTGGAACATGGATGCAATGGAATATGACTGTGTTGTAAGAGACAGACACAAGGACTACAACCATGGACGCGCAAAGAACCACCAAACCAGGCATTCTGACATTATAAAGAACGATCTTGACTCTGAAGAAGAGATAGAAAGACACTCCCTTCCACTCCTTTGCAGAGATTATGGTCCCACACTGTAGTAAACTGCACAGAATGTCAATTTTTAAAATGTACAAATTGGCTTTCCTGAATTTTTTTCTCTTCCTCTTTTTTTAAAAAATTATTATAAGAGATAGCTCTCTAGGAGGAAAAAGAGTGAGAGACACAGAGAGATACTAAGCAATATAAAAACAAAATACATCAGTATCTTTTTGAGAAAACAAGCTGTTTTTCAGTCAGCAATATCCGCTGGTATTTCTGACTTTTTCAGATTTCTGGGCACTGAGCTCCCCTATCCCATATTTATTTTGACATACATGCTAACTAGCTAGTAATTAGTATAACCTTGGTCAATTCACTTCCCTACTCTGGGCCTCAGTGTCTTCATCTGTAAAATGGTTGGAGATGACCTCTAAGGGCCTATCTCTTAGAGACATTCTGTATTTTTGTGAGCTATCCTCTCTAACCAGGCCAGTTTCCTCCCCTCTCTTCCCTGGACATATAGCAATGTACCTGCTTACCTCCACACCTTTGCTCTCCCTACCAATTCAAAAGGAGAGTGGGGGAGGAGTCATGGGAAACTCTCCCTTCCAGTCTCATCACAAGGGACATCACCTCTTGCTCCCAGGTCCCGAGGTATAGTCTGCTCCTAGGAGAAGCTATTAAAACACTGCGCCTTTGTCTCACCCCAGTGCTCCCCGGCCTGCCTAAAGCCTCATTCTCACATCTCCGCTCCACACCATTACCACCGCCCTAATACGGGCTTCCCCTTTGCTCCCTGCCTAGATTCTTACAACAACCCTCCTAATAGGTCTTCTAGGACTCTTCTCTCCTTCAATGCATCCTTCAGTTGCTGACAAAGTTATTTCCTGAGACACAAACTTAAATCATACTGCTTCTCTGTTAAAGAGATATCATGAGGGTCTGACTCATGGCCATTAGGACCAAGGGAGATGCAGCTATCAGCTGGGTCTTGACACCATCCCAATCATGTATTCCACCCCTCCTTGGGCTGTTCCCCATACCTGATAGTATTTGATGGCCTTGGTGAGGGGCTCCACATTGACCGTCTCATCCAGCTGGTCCTTGTGCAGCAGCTCAATGAGGAAGTCCAAGGAACGCTCATGGGCACTCATCTCGGGGTAGAGACTACCAACCTTCTTGTAGACATCCACACTGCACTGAGCCAGGGCACTGTGGATCAGAGCAGGACCAGCAGTAAGACCACAGTCACAGCATATTCAATCTCCTGGTGAGCTCTTAGTCACAAGAAACTAGTGTTGGAGTTGCAGGGGGTGAGGGACAGCAAGTGCAACTGGGGCTCCTAATGAAGGGCAGTTATTGCAGTCACCAGTTAGGATGAAGGGGAGGGCACTCCACTTAAGTTTACACTGCAGTTTTTGCTGATAAAGGACAGAGGGAGACAGGCAGCCAGTGCCTGGTGGCATAGAGGTTACTCACTGCTCATATCGATGAAGTGTGGCCTGCAGGAGGCTCAGTGAGTACACCAGGCCAGCAGCAAAGCTGAGCTGCTCCCCAGGAGCCCCTCGAAGTCCTGGGCGCCCCGCACAGTTCTCAGTCAGATCAAACTTCTCCTGTGCCTGCTTTCTGATTAGCTCTGCCTGTCAGAGAAGTAGAAGGGACATGAGGCTTGACACCAAGGGCACTCCCTGGGCTCAGGGCTGAGGCACAGACAAAGAAGGTTCACAGGGTTCTGGTTCGGGGCACCCAACGCACAAGGGCAGGAGCAGAACTTGGGTGTGCATGTGAGAGTATGAAGGATGTGCACCAGGGCCTACCTTACAAACCAGGCGGGGGATGAGCAGCAGAACAAGAACACAGTCATGATCTCCACCAGCCCTCAGGAAGCTGTCTGGCATGAAGGCCGTAAGCAAGGACACATGCCTATTGGCCTGGGCCACTTCCATTTGCCTCAGCTCCATCTCAATGGCCTAGAGGGCGACAGCACCAAGCAAGGGTTTAGGAACCAATAAGCCTCCCCATGCCAGGGCCTACCCTAACCACAAGTCCATCCAGAACAGCCATGTGTCACCCCTAGGTCCCAGGGGCCAAGGCTACTCTGAGTACAAAGTATATACAAAGTACAGTCAAATTTCTCTAGTTGCCAACACTAGGCCAGCCCTTTCTCCTCATGGCCTCGCAGCAGGCCATCAACAGGAAGCATTCTTCACTCCCAACTCCAACACAAACCTTGGCATGGGCCTTAGTCTCAGCAAACTTAATCTTGAAGTCAAAGGTTTCAGGAGGCGGCTGCTGCTGCCTCTCCACCGAAGCCTCTTGTTGATTAGTCAGCTCCCGATTCACATCCTGGGGAAGCAGGGACAGACTCTGAACAAGGATCGATCAGGGGGCTCCGGGAGAAATAGAAGGAACCTGGTGTGGCCTGGCCAAGTACCCTCGAGTGTGTGGATGTGTGTGTGGAGGCAGGGGGAGTTACCTGCAGATGGGCAGTCAGCTGTCGGTATTTCTTTATAGTCTGCTGGTAGTCAGCAACCGTCTCCTGAGCAGCCTCTACACGCTTCTGGGCCTCTCTCACGCGGGTGCCTGCCATGTCCAGCTGCTCCCGAAGCTCAAGCTCAGTCTCCCGGGCATTCTCCTGCAGCTCATCATTCATCTCATTCATAGCTTCCTGTGCGACAGAGGCAGTGTGGAGCAATAAGGGTCAAGGGCCAGAGATGGTCTTACGGAGATTCCCTCCCCGATGTCCCCCTTCAGGGTTTGGTGTCAGCAGGGAATTGAGGATGAGCTCCCTAAAGTCATCCTCAATGATCAGTGGGAAGCTTCCTTTTCACCAGCTCCTTCTGTAATGTCTGGATGGAGATGGGAGCAGGAAGCTAAAACTGAGGAAAGGCCCTGAGCTTCCCTCAGAGGTTGGGGGGTGGGCAGAGCAGAAGTCTCACCAAGTCTCCCACAGTCTCCCGCAGCTCCCGAACTTTCTCCTCCAGGTTCAGGTTCCTGTCTGTCAGCGTTTCCACCATCTCTTCTGCTCCCAGGGCTGCATCTACCTGTAAGTGTTGTAAGGGGAGTCACAGACGCTTCCATAATTGCACGTGTCCAGGTTTGATCTTCTCCAGCCATCTGGATTCTCCCCTCCCCCTCCCCCAAGTGCCTGCCACTGTATGTCGTCTGCTATAAGTGCTCCATTCACCTGATTTCAGCACCCATTTGTTAAGCCCCTCCTACATGGAGGGTCCTGTGCTTGAGCTGGGCACCAAACACAGAAACAAGAAAAGCCTGTAGGACTGACATGAGAGTTTAGAGAGGAGTGTTGGTGCTGGTGCACCCAAGGCATCATGGTGTTATGGAAAGATTACTGGATCGAGGGCCATATATTCTCTGTGTGACCTTGGGTAAGTTCCTGAACCTTTCTGCCTCACTGGACAAGTAAGGACCCTCTTCTAGCCCTCAACCTGAGACCTTTCCAGCCTGGCTGCCCCCACACCTGCTCCTTGAGCTCATCGATGGTGCGCTCAGCCTGGCCCAGCTCCTCCTGAAGGCGCTCGCGCTGCTGCCTCAGGGCCTCCAGCTCCACGTTCTTCTTCTCCATGAGCTTCTGAAGTTTGACGTGCTCCTGCTTCTCTGAGGCAGAGAGGTCCCGCATTCTGGGGGAGTGAGAGGAAGCATTACACAAAGCATCAGAAGGAAGGGGCCCCAAAGATGGAGGGGGGGGAAAGGAGGGACCAGAATAACACCGCAGGCCTACCTCACCAAGGCATCCTTCAGCCGGGCATTCTGCTCCTCCAGCTGCTTGAGCTGGTAACTGGATGCAGCCCCATCAGAGCCTAAGGGAGCACAGAGGCCACTCACTGCCCACCCCAGCCAGCGTCACCGCCCCCCCTTCTACCTTCCCTGCCTCTGGGCCCATGGCTCCGCTTTTCAGACTTCCACCTCCTAGTGAGGTGTCCCCCTTACCCTTCTCCTCGATTTCCGCCTTGAGGATCTCCAGGTCGGTGGTGAGCTCCTCCACACGCTCCTTCAGAGCCTCCACCTCCTGCTGCAAGGACTCCGCGCGCTCCTCAGCCATCTCCTTGTCCAGAGTGGCCATCTCTATAGCATCGGCGGTGTCAGCCATCTCCTCCATGTAGCGTTCTTTTGCCTCCAAGGCATCTTTGGCTTCCTGAGAAGTAGACAGGGTGCCGTGCCGCATGGGAGGGGCCCTGGCTCCCTTTGCTCCCGATCCCATCCGTCCCCCTGCGCCATCGTCCCACCCTCACCTTCCGGGCCTCCTTGAGCTTTCGCTGCAGCTCCGCCTGCTGTTCCTGCATCTTGCTCTTCCATTCTTGCACCTGCTCCAGCTGGATCTTGTGCTTCTCGAGTTCTTTCAGCTTCGCCTTGTCCTCTGCACGCTTCAGCCTCAGGGTCTCCAGCTTTTCCTCCAGGTCGCGTACCTGCACCCTCAGCCCTTCTTCTTCCTAGGAAGAAGCCCCAGGCTCCCATCACTGGGGGTGCCCCCTCCACCCAGAGCTCTGGCCTGGAGTGGGAGGGACAGGATGCCAGGCATGCATCAAATGCCATCTCAGGAGAGGAGCACAGGCTTGCAGTCTCTCCCCTTGACAGGCGATCCCCAGAGGAATCAGACTGCAGGAGGTGTCACGTACCCTCCTGAGCAGGAGGGAAGAGGGTCCTATATAGTCCCAACCTCCTGAGACAAGGAATGGGCTCCTTGTTGTCCTTTCCTCACATACACACATCTGGGAAGGAAACCGCCACAAGGTTGAGGGCTACCAACATGCTGAGATGGAGGAGGGGAGCTACAAGCCAACAGCAGCAGGAAATTGCTGGATCCAGCTGTGTGCTTCTACAGAACCTGGAGAAACTCCCAGGTCCCTCCATAGAACAGTTTCCTCCTGTGCACCAGGCCTTACCTTGGAGGGCGAAGGCAATGGAGGAGCTGCCCCCAGGGGAAGTGAGCGAAGGCGTGGGGATGATGGGGGCTGCCAAGGGTGTCTGTGCTGGGGTGCTGGGTTCACTGCTGCTCATCTCCCCAGTGGAGGCTGAGGCAGAGGCTGAACCTGAGGGGCCTGCAGGGCCACCAGCCCCTGATGCCCCCGAGCTGGTAGGACGGGCAGCCTGCATTGGTGTGGGAGGAAAGAGAGAAAGAGACATAGGTCATCAGGTCAAAGAGAAACCCACTGTAAAGGTTACACAGAGAGACAGACAGTCTCACTCAGAAGTCTGGGAGACAGAATAAAAAGGGAAAAAATTAAGGAGTTGGAATAGGGTAAGGGAAAGAAGTATGACAGTTCAACTTAAGACCATGAGAGCTGCCCCACAGGAGTCCCACAATCTTCCCCAACCCACAGCCAGCTCTGATGGAGGCCTCTGTCAGCTGGGGAGCAATGATGGCTCACCCAGCTGATCCCTTCTTCCTTAAAAGGCAGAATCAAAATCAAACCCAAGTCTCAGCCCTTCTACCCTTTAGCCAAGCTTTCCTTGGGGGGGAGGGGGGGGGACAACAACAGAAAGACAAGGCCCTCATTGTTGTCTTAGTAATTAGTGTGGGGGTGGGTGGTTTGACTTTAGAGCCTCCTGGCTGGGGCCAGAGCACAGGGATGTGCTATAAAGCCTCTGAGGCACTCAGAGGCTTGGCCCCCTTTCACTGACTAGATACTCAGCTATTATGATAATAGCTCACAATATCTGTAGCACTTCAAGATTTCCTCACAACACCCTTATGAGGTAGGTAGCATAGATATTAAATAGACCCCATTTTACAGATAGAGGAACTGAGGCCTGGAGAGGCTAGGATTAGTCCTAATGGCTAGGACTTGAAAACCAGGCTTTCTGATTCTAAGTCCTTGACTATCTAATTTAACATACTACATCCTTCCTTTCTCCCCTATGAAGACCAATGAAGTGGGCCAGGCATCATCTCATCTAGTCACAAACTTCTTCTTCCCCCAAAACTTCAAAGTATGTGCTAGAACAATTTCTCAACCTCTCTAGACAAGATCAGTAATGGCCTCACCCCAACTTGGAGTATTAGGGTCCCCCCCTTCCTAGGCTCAGTGCTCCTCCCACCACACAAGAAACACTCCAATGGGGAGGAAAGAGGCTGTGCTGGCAGACGCAGAGCGGAGTGCACTTGTTTCAGGGCAAACTTTATCTTCCACTGAGATGGACTTTTGACTCCTCCCTTAGCCCTTGGGTCCAAGATATAATCTTGGACACCAAATTTCCCTCATCCTTTTCTCTTAAGCCAACTCACATCACAGTCAATCAGACAGACAGACACAATACATGCTGAGTCATAAGGATATTCAATGAGTCACAAACATAAGTGTACACAGCCACACATGCACAGTTATCCACAGAGACAAAACTGAAGCATTTGAAAGGGACCTCAAAGATCCTCTAGCCCAAACCATACCTGAATATTACTACCTCCTGATAAATGGTCATTCAGCCCCCATCCAAAACACTCTAGTGATAGGAGAACTCATTCTCTCCCAAGGCAGCCATTCCACAGTTAGGCAGAGGGTGAGCAGTAAACTGAAGTCTGCTTCTCTGAAACTGTCACCCATTACTCCAAGTCCTGCCCTGAGGCCAAAACCAAGTCTAATCCTTCTTCCACAATGGTCCATTGGACAAGAAAGGTTTTGACAAAAGAAGGCTAACAGGAAGCTAAAATCCAGCTCTGGATGAGTGCAAGTCACCAAGGCCAAATGAACTACATCTTGAAAAACTGGCCCACGTATGTGCTCATCAATGACCTCTGAAAGATCCTGAAGAACAGCAGAGGGGCTGTAGTCCTAGAAAAGAACAAATGTCTCCATTTTCAAAAAGAATTAGAGAATAGAGACTTATCTATAGGCTGCGAACTTGGTTCCAATTCCTAGCAAAATTTACAACATCTTTTGAAATGAATGGTTATTAATGTATAGAGTACGGTCACGTCTGTACGGGCACACCAAATTAATCCCATCTCTTTTTCTGACAGGGCTACTAGACTGATAGATCATGAGCATGATGCAGCTATATAGTTTGCCTATCAATCTGTCAACAACTGTTTATTATACACCTATGTGTGAGGCACTGTGATGAACTCTGGAGATACAAAAGCAAAAACAAAACAGTCCCTACCTGCAGGCGTGGACCTTCTACCAGGGAAGACACGTCCATGTTTAAGTATATATTAAACTTATACAAAATGAAGGGAAGGGAGAACATTGGCTTCTGAGGGAAGGAGTGGAGATCAGAAAGAGCTTCATGTAAAAGGCAGTGCTTGAGCTGATTTCTGAAGGAAACCAGGGACTCTTAAGAGGCAGAGATGGGAGGAGTAAGATCCCGCTAGGCATGGGGGAAGGCGCAGGACCCAGATTTCAGTAAAACAGTGACAAACTCTTTTCTGCAGTTCTTGACCAAATGGAGAGACAGAGGCTTGACGACACTTCAATTAGGTGGAATGAGATCTGATTGACTAACTGGACTCAAAGTGCAACCATTAACGTTGTCGTATCATCTTGGAAGGACTTCTTCAACAGTAGGTCCCAGAGGTCTGTGCTTGGTGCTAACTAATTAATGACTTTCATAAAAACACAGATGGTATTCTTATCTAATTTAGTGGATGACACAAAGCTGGAAGGAATAGCTAAAACTCTGAGTGACAGATTCAGGATCCAAAAAGATCTCAACATTGCCCTGAATCTCATAAGATAAATTTTAAAGAAATAAATATAAAGTCTGATACTTGGATTCAAAACATCAACTTTACTAGTACAAAATTAGAAGGCATCATTAGATAGCAGTTCATCTGAGAAAGATCTAGGGGTTCTGGTGGACTGCAAGATCAACATGAGTCAATAGTAGAATATGGCAGCCAAAAAAATTAATGAAATCTTTGGCAGTATTATGAAAGCTGTGACCAGAACTAGGAAGATCACAAATACTTGGAATATTACATTTAATCCTGGCCTCCACATTTTAGGAAGGAGAATGATAAAAGCTTGAGATCATCCAGTAGAAGGCAACCGGAATGGTGAAAGGCCTCTGAGTCCATGACATATGGGGATCAGTTGAAGGAATGGGGAATGCTTAGGTGGGACATGGTAGCTATCTTCAAGTATCTGAAGAGCTGGAATGTAGAAGGATTATGTTTGTTCTTCATGGCCCTAGAAGGCAGAATCATGAGCAATGAACGCAAGTTGCAAAAAGGCAAATTTAGAATGGATGTGAGAAAAATTCTTTAACATTTTAAAGCTATCTCCAAGTGGAATGGGCCACCTCAAAAGGTAGTGGACTCCTTCTCATTGATGGTCCTCAAGCAAGAAATGGATGATCACTTGTTAGGTACATTGTAGAGGAGACTGTTTAGGGACAGCGGGAGTGTGGAGTTTCTAAGGTCCCTTCCAGCTCTGAGATTATCAGGTTCTGTAAAATACTTGAAGATGAGAAACATGTCTCTCCAAAGTCTTCACTTTGCTCTAATCTCAGAGAAGAGATGGGCCTGCTCCTTGTCAAGCTCGACCATAATATTCATGCCCTTGATCTCATTCCTTCCTGTGTCCTTCAGAAGCCTGCCCCTTCAAACATGTGCCCACACTCTAGTTTTCACTATTTCACCTACTGGCTCTTTTTCTGCTGGCTGCCAATGTACCCAGCTCTCCCATATTCCCTATCCTTAAGAAACCTTCAGTTGACCTACTTAACCCTACTTAAGCTATCATCTTATAGTCTTCATTTCATAACTAAAGTGCCAGAAAAGCATGTCTACATTTGTTACCTCCCCTTTCCCACCTCCCATACAGTTTTTAAATCCCTTGGCATTTATTTTTCAATCCCACTACTCAATTGTAACTCCTCTCCAAGGTCACCAATGATCTCTTTGTTGTTAAACTCAATGGCCTATTCTCAGTCCTCATTCTTCTTGATCACTCTTCGCTTCCTGGATAATCTCTGCTAGTTCTCCTACCAGTCTAACCACTCCTCAGCCTCCTCCACAAGATTATCATCAATGCCCTGATCCCTCTGTGTGGGTGTAGCTCAGTGCTCTGTCCTGACCCTTCTCTTCAATTTCCACACTCTCTCCATGACTTCATCAGCTTCCACAGTTCATTTCTAAATAGCTGATTCCCAAATCTAATTATCAAGCCCTTATCTCTTTTTTGAACTTATCTACATCACCAAATGCCTGCTAGACATCATCACCTTGAAGTAAAAGCATCTCAAACTTTACTTGTCTAAAACAGAAGTTGTGACCTATCTTCTTAAACTCAACCCTCTTCAGAACTTCCTATTTCTGCGAACACCACTACCCTTCTAGTCACCTAGGTTCAAAACCTAAGAGTCGTCCTAAACTCCTCATTCTCCCTAACCTTATATCCAGTTAGTTATCAAGTCATGTGGATTCTCCCTCCACAACATCTCTCATACCTGTCCCCTTCTCTGTTCCTAGGACCACCATCCTAGTTTAGGCCTCCAGCATCTCTGGCTTGGACCATATCAGCAGGCTCCTAGTTGTCCTCACTACATCTATCCCCTCCCTGCTCCAATCCATCCTCCACGTAGCAGCCAAACTGATAATTCTAAAGGACAAGTCTGACCACGTTACTCCCCAACTAAAACTAGACTCAAAGGCTCTAAAACCTCTACTATTAAAAAGCTTCATTGGCTCCCTGTTGCCTCTAAATGAAATGCAAATTCCTCTGCTGGACACTGAAAGTCTTTCACAATCTGTCACCACACTACCTAAGCTAATTACATTTAACCCTTTTATACACTGTTCCAGCCAAACTGGCCTACCTGCTGTTCCCTCGCTCACCTCCATGCCTTTACATGGGCTGTCTGTCCCTCACGCTTAGAGGTACATGTTCCTCCTCACCCCACCACTTGGAACCCAGATCAAGTGCAAGCCACATCTACCTTGCCTGATCTCTGCAGGTGTTAAGACTCTCCCAACCCAAGACTGCAAGACTGCTTTGAATTTATTTTGTATTTGCTTGTTAGTACATGTTTTCTTCCAGTAGAATACAATGGAGAGTTTTGGGGTTTTTCTGTTTGTTGTTTTGGGTTTTGTATCCCCAACATGTAACACAGTGCCTGGCACACAATAGGGGATTAAACATATATCTGACTAAATATCCTGAATTACGTCAACCAATCAGTATATGTCATGATCTCCAGTCCCCTTGCCATCCTCGTCTCCCTCTTCTGGACAAGTTCCAGCTTATCAACATGCTTCCTAAAATGTGACACCTCAAAGTGAACACAGTAATCCAAATGGAGTCTGGCCAGAAGAGAGGACAGCAGAGCCATCAAATGTCCCTCGTTCTGGACATTAAGCAAGGAGTCAAAGATCAAGTTGGGCTTTCTGGCTACCACACCAGTTCTGATTCAGAGTGCCCTTGTAGTCCACCAAAACTGTCCAATCTGTTTCAGATCATCTAGCCAGGCCGCCCTCATCCTGAACTCCACTACAGGGTTTTCATTTACACCTATCAAATTTAGCCATACTGGATTTAGGTCTTTCAGGTCTGGGTTGGGCACTGGGTTCCCTGGTGCCATTTTGCTAGGCTCAAGAGCCCTAGTACTCAGATGGTGAGCAATTATTGTGAACAGGGTCCCAACTGGCTCAGCCAAGGCCTACTTGCTTTGTGCTGGGCGGGGAGAAGAGGACAGGGAGAAGCCACAGGGCATCCCATTCACCTAGGAAGGGAGCCTCAAAACCAGTGTGCTCACCAGGGGAGGGGAGGCAAATAGGGGATTCCTTCCATACTGTATATGAATCACTAAACACAAAGACACACATAGTCACTGACACCAACACTGGGCCACATATAGATATTTGAGCTTTGTCACAGAGACACAAGTCACGTGGTGATATCTATACAGACATATGAGAGTGCTGTCACACATGGACCAATAAGCTGGGTCACGGACTGTCACACACAAGCATACACTACAGGAATACAGGGTTTGGCATAAGCACACATGTATAGCCCATCCCTATCTTTTGAGGACAGCATCAGGAAGGATAGCCAACCCTCCCTCCCCTCTCCACAAGAGCTTCTCAAGGCCCAATAGACACACATACCCCCCAGTCACACAGACAGACACACAGGGTAACAAAGACACATGACTGTACATGAGGACAGCTATCTCTCCACTCCTGATAGCTTGTAAAGGCTCCTCAAACAGCCATGTCCTTCTCCCTTTCTTGTCTAGACCAGGTGTTCTTAAGCTGGGATCCACGAATTTGTTTGTCTGAGTATATTTTGACATAATCAACTTCCTTTGTAACCCTACGTATTTTATTTCATGGGTTTAAAAGCATTCTTCTGATGGCTGCTTCAGTAGGCTGCCGAAGGAGTCCATGACACAAACAAGGTAAAAAAGCATCTTGGCTGCCCATCCCAAAGGCTCCTCTTCCAGGAAGTATGCCCTAAATAACTCCAGGTCCTGAATGAGTGATCACTGCATCCTCTACAACCTTGAGTGTCAGTTATCTCAGAAACAGATTTCTATGTTGTCAGAAGTGAAAGGAAATCTTAGAGATCATTTTTCCAGCCTCATTTGATAGATAAGGAAACTGAGGCTCAGTTTTGGTGGGCAACATACCTATTAATGTCCTCAGTTGTTGTTGCAAGTGCCTTGTCTCCTAATCACATACTATCACGGGCATAAACACATGTGCAGGTAGCATAAATGCATGCATACGCAATGTGTGTATGTGTACATACACACACACACACACACACACACACACACACACACACACAGAGACCCCAGAAGAGGCCTCTTGTTCTCTCTCACCTTGGGCCGGCGGGTGGTAGTCTGGCCAGGAAACAGGAGGCAGAGCCAGAGGAGAAGAGATATTCAGGAGAGCAAGAGACAGGAGCAGAGACAGACAGCAGCAGGAACAGTGGAGAGAGTGGAGAGGAAACAGGGACAGGGCCTCTGTTAGATGGCCAACTCCCCTCTCCCTGCTCCTCCCCCAAGGAATACCGCCATCCCCCTTGGTCCCCAGCTGTGTTCCAAGTCCTCCCCTCTCCCAACACAGCAGACCAAGGAGCCCCAGCTTTGGCCAGCTGGTTTTCTCTAAAGGACCCGGTTTCCTCAGTAACCTCAGCCAGCCACAGGGGAACAGAGGCAGCAGATGGTGAAGGAGGCCCCAGAGGCCAACCAGGTCCCTGAAGACCTAGCTATCTGTACTTGCCCTCAGTAATGGAAACCAACCCCTCTCTGACTCTAGCCACAGATCCTAGAATCTACCAGTGTCCTTCTCTTCCTTTTGCCAAGCTACAGGGGTGAGGGGCCAAAGGGGCCCCCTAGAAATCAGATCTGCTGAGGTATGGCCCTGGGATGTTTGTCTCAGGCTCTCTAGTGACTGGGGCAGAACAACCTGCCCCCTCAAGGTCCCATCTAACACCCTCCCCAATACAGAGGGCTCAGGTATCAAGACCATAAATACTGAATGAGCCAGAAGCCCTGAGCTCAGCAAGGTGGCCCCAACTGCAGAATTTAGGAGGGAAGGGGAAACAGATGGGGAAGAAGGATAAGATAAAAGAGAAAATGGAGTATATGTAAAGGGGATCTTCCCCTAAACCAGACCCACTCATTAGGAATGGGAGATTAAATATTAAACCCAAATCTCACCAGGAGGGTGGCATATGACAATTCTATTTCCAAATTCTTTCCTTAAGTGTCTCCCCCCACCCAGATTAGACCCCAGCTACAGGCCTGTTCCTAGGGGCCTCTAGAGCTAAAGAAGGACTTCATTTTGGCTATCCCCCAATCTCTACCACTCAGGGTCACAGAGGATGAACAAGAGCCTCATCTCCCTTCTCAAGCAAGGCAGCACCCCCACTAAAATTGGCAACTGGAAGAGAGAGGGAAGCCCCTAAAGCCAACCATAATATCCAGGGCAAGAATCTAACCCAAGCAAGCTCCCACAGAAGGCCTAAAGCAGTCCCCTACCTAGGCTCCCCCATCACAGGCAACTTTCTTAAAGCAAACAGCAATAGCAACAGCAACAGCAGCCCCTAGACTGATGCCCAGCCCCACACACTCATGAAGGACAACAACCCCCAGGACACACAAAGCCCAGTGAAAGCCAAAGCCAGCTGAAAATGGAGGTGACAGGTGATGCCCGATCCCCCCCCCCACTTTCTCCCCCAAAACCCTCCCCCTCCCCGTGGCAGGCTGACGGAGCCAGTAACTTGCAGCAGTGGTGGTGGCGGCGGCGAGCAGCGGCAGCAGCAGCAACAGCAGTAGCAGCAGCAGCAGCAGCAATGCCGACCCCTAGGTAACCACAGTACCCAAGGCCAGGGCCAGTGGGAGAGGGAGTGAGTACCTTTCGGGTGGCCGGTGCCTGTCTCATCATTGCAGAAAACCAAAGACAGAGACACAGAAACAGACAGAGGGACCAAGGAATCAGGGGGAGGAAGAGGGACCGAGGAAAGATGGCCGGAGAAAGGACAGAGAGATGGTGGGAGGATGGAGAATGGGGGGGTGGGGGGAGTGAGAGAGGCAGGCCGGGCAGAAGGGGACCAGCGGAAAGAGGAGGTTAGCGCATCAAATTCCAACAATGCAGCCTCATCTTCCCAGCCCCGGTTGCTGTGCAGCCTCCAAATAGCTACAAACTCTAGGGCTCCATGGCCCCAAGGCCCACCCCCACCCCCACCCTGTCCTTTTGCAGCTCTGTGCAGGGATCAGGAGTAGAGCCTGGCCCAGCTCTCCATCCTAGGCAAATCCAGATCCCACGATATCAGCTTCTGACCAGCTGCACCCAGCCCTGGATTCTAGCTCCTCGTGATGTCATCGGACCCGCCCTCCAAGACTCGGGTGGGGGCTGGGGAGGGAGATGGCTCCTCAGTCACCTAGCAACACCCAGTACTTCCCAAGGCTCCTCCCTCCGGACCGCCCATCACAGTATCCACTCCCCTACAAGATCATAACCCTCAGGATTCAGCCTCTGATGGAGAACAAGAGATGGGAAGGAGTCATTCCCTTAGGGGCTGGAGGGCCAAGGGCTTAGGATAGAAGAGGCTATAGAAGGAGAGACTGACATGCCTCCATCACAGTTATCTCCGTCTGTCACTTACACATTCCAGTCTTCCCTCTTCTTTGTGTGTCTGTCTGTCTCTATCTCATACAGTCTTATCTTCACCATGTATCATGTGTCTTTTGGTCTCTGTCTGTCCTCCTTGCTCATTCCCCACCCATCTCTCTCTCTCTCTCTCTCTCTCTCTCTCTCTCTCTCTCTCTCTCTCTCTCTCTCTCTCTCTCTCTCTCTTTCTTTCTCTCTCTCTCTCTCTCTCTCTCTCTCTCTCTCTCTCTCTCTCACACACACACACACACACACACACACACACACACACACACACACAGAGTTCCCCTCCTATGTCACACATACAAAGTCTCCCTTCCTCTACATCTGTCTCTGTCATTATAAACATACAGTCCCCCCTTCTCTGAATCACAAACACATACCATCCTCTCCCTCTGTGTGTGTCTCTCTTACAACCTCCCCTCCTGCTTTTCAGAGTCACCCCTCTTGCACTACCATGTCCACACACACATTCTCCCCTCCTTCATTTGTGGTGCACACAGGGCCTCGGTTTTCCTCATATATACCACCACTTTCCCCGCCCTGCCCAGGAACAGTGTCCTCCCCTCCTCCTCGTGTCTCTCTTTCATACACAACCATATACATTCAAACCCCCCTCCCTTCAGGGTCCCAAGGACACTAGTTCCTATGATACACAATTGATTAAGGAGATTAAAATTCCCTCATCCACAAAGAGATCACTTCCTCCCACCCTTCACCCAACTAGGACAGGCACAAAGGACATCCTGCAAAAACAGCAAACTTAATTAATCTCCATGATAGCGTCCTCCATCGGTAACTCCCATCCTTTTACCCAGGGCTTTGAGGGGCTTAACAAGAAATTTTGATAGAAGAGGCACCCCACCATGCTTCCAATCTCTACCATAGGGCCCTCATTTTCCTCAGAAGCCCTAGGCTACTTCTAGAGAGACGCCACCTCCTTTTCCCAGGTTTGGGGAAGGCAAACAAGAGGTGTTCCCCTTCTTTGCTCAGTTCAAGATCCCTGCAGTGAGATGGAATAGAGAACCCAGCTGGGATAAAGTCACAGAGGAGAGAAGTTACAATTGCAGGTCCCTAAACCAGGAATCCAGCACATTGTATACCATGACCACCCTCAAAGCAAGCCCCTTCCCCCCAGCAAGTAGCTCCAAGAGCTTAAAGCAAGACCTTCATGCAGCATTAGTGTGTCCCAAGGTGATCAGGCAACACAGCACACATGGGACTTATGGACAAGCGCATGCAGGCCAAAAGCATACAGTGCAAAGGACCAAACTGGGCCTTGGGGAGGTGAAGGCTGGGCCAAGAGACTGCAAAGCGAGAGGATTACATATCCCAGAGATTCCTAGCTCAGCACAGCCCCAGTGACTATTAATGGTAGATATGACCAGGGCCATGTCTTCTGAGAGAAGAGATCAGGGAAATGGCACACCCCTAAAAGTTTCTAGAAGGGAAAGGGATAGGACAGCTGCAAAGACAGGACTGGCATAACTCTAGGAAGGAGAGCTGGTAGGGAAGGAGACAGAACCTCAAGGTGACATGTAGTCAACCCTTTATGAGCATATATTCCAGGGTCCTCTAGCTCAGGGTCTGCTCCTCCTGCTCTTTTTAATTTTATCTCTCTACCCAACTATCCTTCTTGTGCTACCAAGTCAGGGCTGACTGAGGCTACTTTATGCCTGAATCACAGCTTAAGTGACAACCCTTCATCTCACTCAGGGCTATGGAGCTTCTGCTAAGATCATGTCTCCTCTGAGAGTTCTATTACTGGCTGGAAGAAAGGGGAGGCCTACAGTTAAAACCACCTGAAGCCTGGTAAAGCTGAGCCCTGGGAGGATCAAGGCTGCCCTTTCCTTTCGTCATCTAGGGCCCAAGAAGACATGCACAAGCATGCAGCATCAAGAGGACATGCAGAAGATCAGGATGGGTAGAGAGGGAGGCATGATGCCAGCCTACTCCCTCCCACTGACACACAACAAGGAGACACACCACCTTCTTAGGCTTCAATCCTCGCTGCATGGGAAGGGGGTCAGCAAAGGATAGAGTTAGAGATCAAATAATCCACTGAGGCCACATTGGAGCCCTAAGGGTCTGCAGCAGCCCAGAGATGCTCAGAGGCAGGTGACAGGTGACTGCAGGAAGGATCTGGGAATAGCTAATGCTTCCCCTGAACCCTGCATTTCCTTCCAAAAGGTCAGGTGCCTCCAAGCCCTGCCACCTCTGCTAGGAGGCAATGAAAGCCCATTACACCTCCCCAACTGACATCATCTTGGAGATGAGCTAAAGGCTCCCTTCTCCCTCAATGTAAGTCCTTCTCACATACTGTAACACAACTGGAAGCAAATTCCCTAATAAACAGAGAAGCCCCACCTCCCTCCCTTGATGACCGATGTCCAGTCCCAGCCTCCCACAAACCACTTCTAGTGTGCTTGTGCTAACAACATAGGGAGCCACATTGCCTAGGTCAAACAAGCTACTGATCCCCCCCTCCCCCTCCCCCACAAGGCTCATCAAGGCCTTCCCAATCCAACTTTTTCTTCTGAATATACTAGAAAGTAGTGAAAAATCTGTCTAGTAGTAGAAATTTTTGATCAACTCACCCCAACTCACCCCTAACCCCCTAGACAAGCTTCTTCCAATCCCCAAGACTGATTTTGACTCCCTCTGGGTACCCCTGACAATGTACATCTAGGAACTAAAAGGTAAGCAGTTCCAAGCTCCCCCCCAACCCACCCCCATCCCCACCAGGTTTACCCTTCAGCCAAGCCCCATCAAGCAACTCACCAGTTTGCTGGCCTTGGCAGCTGGGTCAGTTGCTTCTGCAAAAAGAATGGGAAAGAGAAAAGGGTAGAAGTAAAAGGAATTAGCCATAAGAATTGGGGGAAGGGCTGAGACCAGCTGTGGAATAGGGCTCCAAGGCCCACGATAACCCTAACATTAGTGAGGAGGCCCTGGTGACCCTTGGATATAAGGAGGCAGCCATAAGAAGCTGGGATGTGGGAATGAAGTGGGCAGATAAAGAGGAAGAAGCTAGGATACAGAGGAAAAGGAGACAGTAGCCAGGAGATCTATACCTCTCTTGAGAACTTTTGAGGCTGAGGAATCTGGTGTCTCTGGGGATGTGGTATCTGCTCCATCTTCAAACACCTGGATCTGAGGCCATGGAACAGACACAAATCTCTCAACCAGAAATAACTGAGATGGCTCCCCACACTCAGCCCCTTGTTACCCAAAAAGTCTGGGGCACAGATAGCCCTTGCTATCCTCAAAGCCATAGGGCCCTTCCTGTAATAAGTATGACTAGGCATTCTCTCCCATACCCCTTTCTCCAGTGCCCACCCCCCTTACAGGTAGAGGCTTGGGGAAGTCCTGTGGGTGATGACACAAGTACCTGTGATTGGCGGACAAAGATGCCATGCCCCTCCTCACACGTGAAGTACTTCCTTCCTTGGACAGTCCCATCATTCTTGCCCCTGGCTTCATCAAGGATCACACCTACCCACTTGCCTGTGGCAAACAGTGTGGCCCCCACATAGGCCACGGTACCACGGTGGCCCTTCCCAATCACCTCCACTCGGGACCCTACACGGAGGGGTCGGCTGCTTGTCTCGGCACTCATCCTGCTGCCACTTGGTGTCTGCGAGAGACACAAACCACGTCAGCTGCTTCACAGGCAGACATTATCACACATTTCTTATGCGCTGGACCCAAATCCCAATTCTAACAGGAGACCTGAGGGCTGATTTAAGGAAGAATGTGCGTCACCCACTCTGAGCTATATTTACAGGTCTGGGCTAGACCCTAAAGCCCAGAGACTCCCTTCATTACCCACTGGAGCTCTCCAAACGCTTACAAAACTTATGTATGATTTCTAATACAATATCTAATTAGAAGTAAATGTTATATTTGCTTGAAAAATGTTTAATATCACCACATACTTGCTTTCTGTCAGGTACTGCCCCAAGTGGGGGAAGGAAACAACCCAAGCTGAGCCAAGCAATTTCTTGGGTCCCCCCCCCCCCCCCCCGCCAATCACAGCCCTAATCAGAAACACAGGAATATGAAGTGAATCTCAACAACTCCCTAACTACCCCAACTCCAGTGAAATCACTTGCCTTCTCTGTACTTGAGAGACCCTTTGGGCTTCTCTCTCTCACAGTTACACACTTATCCTTTCTTCAAGCCTCAAACCCATCCTTACTATATCCTGAACTTCCAGGGAACAACTGACATGCTCTTTGCTTGGCCTAGGCCCTGCTATCAGTTTAACTCACCCTCATTCTATCTGCTGCGTCCAAGGAGTAAGAGTGTGGGAGAGAGGAATCCTCAGAAGAGGCTCTATATTTCCTCTCAAAGCTAAAAAAACTACTCTTCCCTATATTCTTAAATATTCTTCCCTCTATACCTAAACACATATAAAACAGACTTAATGGACTGGTTATCACCTCAGATAAGTCTTTAGTGGAAACCAGTAAATATGTGCTGGGCTGGGAAATGTGCAAAAAAAAAAAAGAGGGGGTGCCCTCAGGATCTCATAACCTGAAACACACATACAAGCTGGACCACACACACACACACACACACACACACACACACACACACAGGCTGCCACTGAGAGCAGAACAGAAACAGGAAACCGGACTCTGAATGGATGGAAAGTGTCTCTAGCCCATGGGGATCTAGGGAGCATACCACACCACACTGGGCCCAGCTTCAGCAACAACACCGTAGAACAGGGCAACCCAATACAGCAGGGGAATTCTGGAACTGTAGGGTGACATGAGCTAAATAAGTGACCAGCAGGGCTTATTTGGGTCTGTACCCACTCCCAGGCCCCAGGAAGGGATATCTATGGCAATCAGAAATCCCAAAAAAGCAGCCTGCGGAGTTGCAGGAGCAGACCATCTCCAAGCTCTCTTCAAGAGAGCTTATCTAAGCGGACAGTCACTTTGAGTGGTGATGGAAATGGTTTACCAAGGCAGCTAACCCCTGAACCAGAGAAAGCACAGTGGCTTCTGAAGGAGCCCCGTTGATAGTATAAACTGACAATAAAATCAGAACCACCCTTTCCCCCTCAATTCACACACAGTGATCCCCCAGATGCCAAAAAGATCAACCAAGTGGATAGTAAGAGTGTAGCCCAGGATACACTGTAGGAACTAAAAGATGGGTAACTGCCTCAGAGGTAAGGGGGATCAAGTCAGGTAGAAAAGGATATAGAGTCTGTGTCAGCCCTCCTCCTAAGGCCCTCTCCTGACTCAGATCAAGCTAGGGAGAGATGAAGGAACAACAAAGCAGCTCTGAAGAAAGACTTCATTGTAAGTCTATTGCACCCAGACTCAGGGCCCCCATGATGTCCCAGCCCCCACTGGAGCCTGCAGCCTGAGGCCCAGTGACAGCCAGAGGCTAAGCAAAGCCAAGATACAAGGTATAACTGTAGGCAGAGACACAGCTTCCAGCATATCGCAGACACCCAGGAGGAGTCCGACAAAGCCACACACCAACTAGGCTATGGGGACTCCTCTTCAATACCATGGTCACAGCCCATGGCCCAGCCCCCACAGCAACAATGCCCACAAGAGCGCAGGCCTAGGTGGCCCAGCCCACCCCTCTACCCCCCCCCCACCCAGTTCCTAGGCTCAGCTGAGGGAAATCCCTTCATCCTGCCCACCACTTACTTACCCGGCTATACACATGCCTCTTGCTCTGGGCCATGCTTCTGCCTGGGTTCCTTCCCCGATTTCTCCCCAGACCATCAGACACTGGACTGAGGGTATTAGGGACCCCAGGCCCTCCAGATTCATACAGAAACCTGCAGGCCCATGAAAAACACTATTCCTCCCACTCCTCTCAAAGGAGTGGGACAAGCAGGCTCAGGCTGAGAACAAGGGGGGGAAAGATCCTTGGCTACCAGAGCCTGGATCCTGCCAGCCCAGCTGATGAGCAGCCTCACTCTGCGCTAGTCTAGCTCTAGACTTGTCAGAGAGCTTCCCAGCCTCTGGGTCCTAGTGCCCTGCATCTTCACCTGAGCCAGGAGGAAAGGCAAGACCCTCACACTGTTCCTCAGCATGAAAAAAGCTGGGGGCCCTAGCTCCTGAAGGGGATGGGCAAAGCTCACAATCACTGTTCCTCCCAGAACTTGGTGCCAACCCAGGCCAGCAGAGAGCAATGACATTTTGAAGGGTGTCTGTCTCAGGCCTTGTCATTGCCAAAGGCAAGTGCTCTTAAGTGGCCAAAAGATAGGAACAGTTTTGAAAAGAAGAAAAGCAAACTACCAACCATTTGGAAAAATTTGCAAAATCATCTCAAGTCCAAATTGTCAAAGAAGGTAAATGAAGGCAAAAGGCAGTGTTAGAGGCCCTGTGGAAATACAAGCACGATAATTAACTTCTGGTAAAGCCATGAACTGGTCCAGTTGTCACAGGAAATTATCTGAAAGTATGCAAGAACTACTGTCAAACTGTTCAGACTCTGGCCCAGAGATCCCAGTAGTGGGTTTATATGCAAGGAGGATAATGAGAATAAGAAATACCCCTTGCACAAAAACACTAACAGCAGTGCATCTGTAATAACAAAAAGCTAGGAACAAGAGCTGGGCCCAACAAGAGTGGACCAGCTGAAGAAAATGTTCAAAATTGAGAGTAAAGAGGAAGACCTCAAAGAAACAAAGGAAGACTTCTGGGGAGGGAGAAGCAAAGACCTAGAGATTAACAGAGCAGCATGACACAATGACTTTATTTACAATGTTAAGAAAACCAGCAAAGGCAACAAAACTCTTCGGGTCAAGTACAAGAGACAACTCTGGTAACCCAGGAGCTATTAAAGTTAAAAAAGTGTCCTTTGTTAGCCACAGGTAAACAGCTGGTGAAGTACAAAAGCTGAAAGTGCCACCAGGCACAACCATCCTTCTAGGCAGATGTGCCTACTGTATTTGAGAGGATAGGAATGGGGGGGTAAGCATTTGGCAAGAAGCATCTGCAAAGTTTACCAATTTGCAAAAATGGGTATTCTCTCCCCCTAAAAAAAAGATGCCAGTAAAAATGCTTTCTACTCCTCTGTGCTCTAGGTCTGTGCTCAGACAAATGAGTCAGGCCAAAAGGGTTTATTAGGTCTCCCCCCACCTCAGGACTGGTTAGGAGTCTGTATCAAGTTGGCCCAGGCACGAATACAGCATAGGGAAAAGCTGGAGTGAAAGGAGGGACACTAACCCGAACCCCATACACCAAGTGGAACCAAATGCTCGGAAAGGCATTGCTATTTGACCCCACCAAACTGTCTGGGAGAGAAACACTAGCAAATGAGACCAAAGTAACAGCCTTCCTAACTCTCTTCCTTGCCAGTTTGAAGAGACAGGCCCTCTGCCCAGGGCTCTACCACTTCCAACAGATCAATGGGAGCAGGCAGAGGCCTTGCGGAATGCTGACATCCCCACAAAGCTCAACCTAAGACACCTTCAGCTACAGATTTCCTGTGAGCTCTTGGCCTGCCTTCCCATGAAATCCATTCACAGAAAGCCCAGCTGCTTCAGCCTCCACCTCTGGGGTAAGAAAGTGGCAAGGACAGTGGGTCTGGACTGTATGATCCATATCACCTATATGACCCAGGGCAAGTCACTCCTGGCAACTCAGTTCCCTCATCTGTGAAATGAGGGCGCTGGACTAGACATCCTCTGAGGCCCCTTCCAGTTCTAGATTTCTGAGTCTATGATCTTAGGCTCTCATTCTCACCTGAAGAGGAAACAAAGACTAGTGTTGCAGAGTCTCCAGGATTCTGCAGTGACACTCCGCTGCCTACCGAGTCTGAGCAAGGTTTTCCTTCCCCTCCTCCTACCATCACTGGCTGTCACCAGGTGCCAAGAAGATTTGCCTTCAACCCTGGTGCTAAAATGATTTCACACTTGGCTCAGAGCAGGCAAGACCTACAGAGACAGAACAGAACCCCGGATCTCCTGAGCAGCAAGCTAAAGGTGTACACCACAATTCCAACTCCCAGAAGCCACGGGCTCAATTCAATTCAAAAGAAATATATTAATGACCTCTAACGTGTCAAGCACTGTACTGTATTCTGTATAGACACAGAAACAAACAGAAGTCCCTGTTCTAGAAAAGCCTGTTTTCCTACAACATGGATACAGATGAATAAAAAACAAATACAAAGTAATAAGTGGGAAGATCAGGAAAGGTCTTATGTAGAAAGTAGCACAAAAGCTCAGCCTTGAAGGAAGCTCATGAATCTAAAAGCACAGTGGGAAGAAGGGATGGGAGACAGAATGCCCTGCATCAGTTTAGATGGAAAAGGACACGAGAGCAAGTAATGGGAAAGTAGTCTGAAAAGAATGGGTTGGAACCAGTCTGTTAGAGCTTTAAACATCAAACAGATGAGTCACTGAAGCATCTCAAACCTGAGGGCTGACAGGGTCAGACCTGTGCATTAGGAATATCACCTTGGCAGCTAAGGAGAAGATGGAATGGACAGGGGAGAGGCTGGATGAAGGGAGGCCAAGGTCTAGGCGAGAGGTGATAAGGGTCTGAATGATGATGACTGAGGTATAGGTGGAGAGAAGGGGACAGATTTCAGAGGTTTTATGGAAGTGCCAGCCACAAGACTTGGCTACTAATTGGATGGGGAAGGGGGTGTGGGAGAGAGGAAGAGAAGAGTCCAGGATGACTACAAGGTGTACAACCTGGAGGATAGGAAAAGTGGCTATATCCTCAACCAGAATAAGGAAGTTAGGATTCTGAGCTGGAAGGGATCCTAGAGGCCTCTCATTTTACAGCCTAAAACCAAGGCCCAGAGCTATTAACCACTGTGCTCAGCAACACCCCAGAGCCTAGTCCAGACCCCCGCTATCCTTGCTCCCATCTAACCCCAGAGGTAGAGGTATACCCCTTCCTCCTCTCTGACTCCTACAATATACCCCGAGCTTCTGTCCACAGTCAGTTCAGGTGCCACCTCTCACTGGAGGCCTTGTCTTACTCCCCAGACCCAACTGTTAGTGCTTAGAACTCCTCTGGAGATCTGCTGCTGCTGTTTACTCATTCAGTCGTGTCCCACTTTTCAGGACCATATTGTCCATGGGATTTTCTTGGCAAAGATACTGGAGTGGTTTGCCATTTCCTTCTCCATCGGATTAAGGCAAACAGGATTAAGTGACTTGTCCAGGGTCACACAGCTAGCAAGTATCTTGAGGCCAAATTGGAACTCTGGTCTTCCTGATTCTAGGTCCTGGGCTCTATCGACTGAGCCACCTGGCTCCTCTTAAAATTACTTTATATTAAAAAAAAGATTCCACATACACACTATACACAATACCTGCTTCCCCCCCCATACAGTGATTAATTTGGCTGAATTTTTTCCTTCTTTTCTTTTTTTAATTTTTCCTAAAAAATTCTTTATTGTGAGGGATAGTTTCCAAAGAGGGAAAAGAGAGAGGATAACAGGGAAATCTAAGTAATACAAAAAGAAATAAATAAAAAGTTATTTTTAAAAAGAAAAAAAGGCCATTATATTTAGCAATTATGAGATAGTAACTTTGGAAAGAATAGATTCAGTTGAATGATGAGATAGAAAGTCTTACATAAAGTTAATACAATGAGAGGAGCAGAAGTGGAGGTATCTATTGCAGACAGCCTTCTCAAAGAGTTTAGCCAAAAAAGGGAGGAAAGATGTAGGAAGATAACCAGTGGGGATGGACAGATCAAGTGAGGGTTTTTTGAGGATACGAGAGACAAGCTACTGTAACACTTCACAATTTCAGCTATAGCCTCAGGGAGCTTTAGGAGGCCTGAGGAGGCATGAAAAGTTTTTTAAAGACCCTATGTAATAAGAGGGATACAGAGTTGATTAAGGAGGTATAAAAGGGGGGCCCTGCTGAAGAGAGGACCCAGTGGAGATTACACAACCACCCTGTAGTAGACCCAAGCAGAACCCACAGTTTCTCCATTTCCTCCAGCTTCATTCAGCACACTGCCTCTCAAATATGTTTCTGAATAAGCTGAGAGGGAACCTGGACTTGGATCTACTGGACCCACTGTCACAGAGGGGTCACAAAGGTATGTATAACCTCTTAATGGACCTCTTTTAGGAGTCCCGTTATTTCCAGGCCTGAGATTTACCTCCCCATCTGAAGGTCATGCCTTTCTTACTACAGAATATGCCTGTTTGCCCAGCCTCCTCTAGGAAACTCCTCCCTATCTACCTTGAGCTCAACGTACTTGCCCTGGCAATTGCATACATTTTTGGTGGCTTGGGCCACCTTAAGGGAATACACAAAAAGAAGCCATGACATTCCTCTCTTCTCCCAAGAAAGCATTTTGGAGAATAAGACAATGAGCAATCAGCTGGGCGCTAAGTTAACCCTGATGACGAGCTTGCCTATGCCTGGGCTCCTCCTCTGGCACCACCCCTTATACCTGAGAGCAAAGCCCTGGCACTAGGACCCTGCAGACAGGGGTCCCGAGCCTGCGCTCTGAAGGGCTGCACCATTTCACAACTTCAGCTTCAGCCTCAGCAGCCAACAAAGCTGCTGTCACTGCTACCAACACCTCAGTTGACTCTGTTTTGACTTGACTGCTGACCGGCTGCACCAATGCAGAACGCCCTCCTTTCTGCCCTCCTTTCAAATCAAGAAGCAACATCTGAGCACAACTAGAAAAAAATCTCTTCCATGGATCCCACTCAGAGGAGGTAACCATAGCAACCTGCAGATGAAAGCAATAGAGAAGATGCTCCAGTAACTGCAGCAAGAAGAGGTGAGTCTATTTCTCTTCCACCATCTCTATTACTACCACTGTCCCTAACTCACTCGAGTCAGGCAGCCACATGCACTTAGCCTTCAGCCCTACTTAAAACTGACACCATAAGGAAAAAGGGGCTTGTTTTGTTAATCACTATATAAAGCCATTGCCAAAGCTAGTCTACCATGCTTGGAATGGATAAGAGGGGCCTATCCTTCCTGTTCAACCCCTCAGAATAATTCAGGCTCAGCCTGAAGGGCCTGGTGAGTGGTTTGAGCTTCTTAGCCAGGTCTGAGTCTTACAAAAAGTCACAGATACAAAAGCTGGCAACCTGACTTCTTCCAAGGTCTCCATTACCATGCTAATTGATGAAGATGGGGGGGGGGGAAGGGGAGCAGAGAATAGTGTCTTCACTGCTGGACACAACTCTGGGCCTCAGCACTCAGGGTTAGCCTGTCTGCAGGGTCCTAGTGCCAGGGCTTTGCTTCCAGGTATAAGGGGTGATGCCACCAATTTGGCTAGAACTTAAAGTGGGGAAGGAGAGTAATGTGACAGAACCAGGCTGTGGAATGCCTTGAAAGCCAGATGAAGGAGTCTAAACTTTACTCAAGAAACGGTAGGGAGCCAATGAAGATTTTTCAGCAGAATAGCAACATGACGAGATTAAATTATCATGCTGGACAAGGGGTAAATGTTAAACAAATCTGTCTGCTGGTCAAGTACAACTGGAGCCAGCCTGGGTTTCCAATCCACTCTAAGGTAAAAATAAACCCAAAAGGTGCTCACTGTCAAGTGCCTACAAGTAGTTCTGTGGGGTTGGCACAGTGATCCTCTACCTATGTTCCTGACTCTATTCCCTCAGAAGCCTGCTCCATTTTCTCTCCACTGGTTTTCCACACCTGCACCATACTGCTTACCAATGACCTCTATATCACCAAATCCAATGACTTACTGTCTTTTCCCACTGGCTTTGGTCTCATCACATCATGACGTCATCCACTCCCTCTTTATTAAAACACTCTCTCCTCACTTGGCTCCTGACACATTATAGTGTCTTAGTTATCTTCGGACCTCTTTGGCCATCCCTTTGTGCCTCTGCACTCATTCCACTTCTTTCCCCTTAAATGTGGGCCCAATGACTTTAACCTCCTATTCTATTCACCCTATACTCTTTTCCATAGAAATTGCAGCCATTCAAATAGTTTCAACCAACACTTCTATACAGATGTTTTCCAAATCTCTATCTTTAGCCATGACCACAACTCTAAATGACTCCTGGACATTTCTATGTGGATATCCCACCATCACCTTAGACTCAACCCTTCTACTCCCTCAAAATAGTCCCCCCCACTCATGTCTAAAATATGGATATGTAAGGGCATATTTTATTCAAAAGGAATAAATAAGAAAGTAGGAAGGAGCAGCGCTATATAAAGTTATACTCATTGATGAAATCAAGAAAAAGGAAAGGGAAAGCATGATATATAGAACATTTGGGTAAAACATTAATGGAGGAAGAAACAGAAGCGATATTGTCTTAGGTGTATAAAATGGACCACTCAGACAGAAGAAAGAAATAGATATTTCAGAAACCATCACAAACCTAGCATAGAAGCCTTATACAATATCGTTTGGGAACTCCAATTATCTAGACATCTGGAGCTTTCTGCTAAAAGCAGAGCAGCCGACACATTCTTGGCTGGCCTTCAAGGTAATTTTATTCTTCAAAAAGTAGAAGAAAAAAACAAGGGGGAACGTGATTTGGACCAGATTCTGACTAACAAAGAAGAACTGGCGCTGGGTGCTGAAGTACAAATGATGGAAAGCTGGGGGAGAAGTAACCACTCTTCCCCCTTAGAATTTATGATAGAGCAAGAAAGGAAAGTCAGGCAGGTCTGACAACCCCTACACTCTGTGGGACAGAGATATCAAAGGCTCAGAGAAAAGACAGGCAGGATCTCAGAGCTTAAAATTTCACAGGGAAGATTGCCACTGCCCCCCCCCCCACGACAAAATTCTAATGACACAAATTCCAAAGAAACAAAAAGACAGAACAATTTAAGGAAACAATGTGGATGTATAGAATTCTTTAACCTACTTAGACTACTAAAAGACAAGTATAGAAGGTTAGGAAGCAAGGGACAATTACAAAAGAATTCAAAACAGAAGCTTGCTTCTCTAAGATGTGTGCCAAAAAGTGCTAAAGCTCAGAATGAGCTGAAGGTGAAAACTAATGCCAAAGATACCAAAAAGAGTTTTTAAAGCTATGTTTGGGGCAAGAGGGAGATCAAAGAATGGACAGGACCAGTGCTTGGAATGGATTCGATAACAATCCATGAGAAGAGAAGGCAGGTATATGCAACTGTTTCTGCTTTATCTAACAAGGCAAAACGATCCTAGGCCTGAAAAAGAAAGGGCTCAAGGAGGAGCTGAAATACAGGATGATTCCATAAGTATTTATTAAACACTTACTATAAACATATTACTGTGCTAAGTAATGGAGACACAAAAACAAAAACAAAACAGTTCCTGCCCTCTGAGAAGTTTATATTCTAATGAGGGAATACAGCATCTCCACAAATAAGTAACATACGAGGAAAATTAAAGTCAGGGAAGAGCACTAGCAGCTTGGGAATCAGGAAAGGCTTCACAGGCATGATCCTTGAGAAAGCCTTGAAGAGGCTGACAGGAGAGACGGGGTACATTCCAGGCACAAGGAATGGCTTGTACATTGAATTGAGGCAGGAGGCAGAGTATCAAGTTCAAGGAATTCCTGCCAAACTGGAATGCAAAGTTAACGATGGGGAGATGTGAAAGTTGGAAATGTAGGGGGCCAAATTGTATAGAACCTTAAATAACAGACTAAGGAGCTTGTTTATTATCCTGCAAGTAAAGGAGAATCACTAAAAGCTTTGGGCAAGGCAGCAACATGGTCAGAACAGTGCTTTATTTAAAAAAAAAATTAGTTGGAGGCTATGTGGCAGATAGATTGGAGAGGAGAGAAACTGTAATCATGAGGACCACTCCAGCAATACAGGCAAGAGGGGACAGGGCCCTGATTTAGAGTGGTAGCAATGTGAGTGCAGAGAAGATGGACAGGAGAGAGGCTATGGAGGAAGAATTGATAAGGAGATGGGAAAAGCATCTGGCTGCTCTCGAAGAGTCCAAGTTGTCAGTTCTGGATAAGCCACATCTCTGTACACTGAAAGAACTGTTGATATGGCTGCTGACCAATTTCAGTGATCTTTGTGAAAGATGTTACAGGAACGGAGGACACGTGTGCTGATTTCCAAAAGGGAAGAAGATGGAATCACTGAATTTATCTTCAATAAGCTTGACTTCAATTTCTAGTAAAACTAAAGAGATAGATGGTAAACATCTAAAAGAGGAAGCAGGGTCTCATCAAGAACAGATCAGGCCACCCTAACTTCATTTAATGTTAAGGGTTACTAGAAAAGTCATCAGGACATAGTAAACCTAAATTTTAGCAAAGCATTTGACAGACTTTCACGCTATTCTTGGGAACAAGATGGAAATATGTAAAAGAGATGATGGAAATTTTAGTTGGTATTTGAACTAGTTAAATGACTTGGAAGTATGTAGGAAATTACCCCAGGGAATTGTCCTTAGTCAGCTGCTTTTCAGAACATTTTTATCAATGATTTGGATAAAGGCATAGAGAAAAATGTTTATCAAATCTGCAGAAAACATGAAGCTGAAAAATCATCCCTAAGTTACATGATAGAATCAAGATCTGAAAAGATTTCAACTGATTACAATGTGCTTAATCTAATAAGATGGAATCTAATAATATAAATGTAATGTCCTTTACTTGGTACCAAAAAAATCAACAAGGGATAGAAAAGGATAGAAAAGGGATATAAAAACCATGGCCAGCAAAAAGTTCATGTGAAAAATATCAGGAGGTTTTAGAGGAATATAGGTTCAGTATGTGCCACTAATGTGACATGGAAGCCAAAGAATCTAATTCATAAAGTGAGAAGAGTCAATATCCTGGAAGAGGGAGGTGACAGTTTTATTGACCTCTGTCCTGGTCACCACATTTCAGGACAATGACAAACAACAGTGCTTTCAGAGGAAGGGAATCAAGAGTCAGTTGGTTAATAAACATTTATTAAGCACCTATTATTTGCCAAACACTGTGTTAATGCTGGGCAAACGAAGAAAGGCAAAAGCCAGTCCTTGTTCTCAAAGAGGTCATAGTTTAACAAGAACGACAATATGTAAATACCTATGTACAAACAAGCTGTATACAAGATAAATTGGAAATAATCAGCAGAGGGAAGGCACTAGAATTAAGAAGGATGGAGAAAGGTTTCTTGTAGAAGGCAGGATAAGGAACTTAAACCAACGTCATAAGTATCAGATGAAGAAAATGGGCATGTTTAGTGCAGAGAAGAGAACTGAGGACATGACAGCAGTATTTAAATACTTTAAAGGCAAAGAGATTAGATTTGTTCTGTTTGGTTCTAGAAGGGGAAAACTAGTAGCAATCGAGTTAGAGTTCAGAAAGTGTATTTACGTTTAAGGTACTGAAGAAGTTTCACAACAGTTAGAGCTATCCAAAAGTATAGGAGAGGATGGATTTACCCTCACTAGAGTCTTTAGGCAAAGGCAGTATAACTCACTTGTAAGTGATGTTGTAGAGGGGATTCCTGTTCAGATACAGATTAGCCAAAAGGTCTCTGACACTGTTATATGATTCCTTCCCCGTACCCAGTCAATCCCAAATTCAACTAAGTTTTCCTTAGTAAAGCCTCTCCCCCATTCCTTCCTTCTTTTTCACTCCCACTGTTACCTCCTTAGCACAAGCTCTCACATTTAGATCACTGAAGGACCCTTTTAACCTGTCTCCTTCCTCTTCCCTGTTTCCTATTCCAATCTTGCACATGGCCATCAAATTAATGCTTCTAAAATTCTGCTTTATTCTTATCCTGGTCCTGAAAATTCTATATAGTTCAAACCCAATTTTATCATCTTCCTCACCACTAAACATCCACCTAGCTCGCTCTTCTTTTTCCTCTCCATTAATTTAAAAATCGACTGAGCTTCAAAGCCCAGATCAAGGTATACACCTTTTTCGTAAACTGTTCTCTAACCACTCCAGCCCACTGTGCTCTTTCTCTTCCCTGAACTCCTTTGAACTTGTGTGGTGAGGGCAAGTCTCATCCCTGGACCTCTGCTTTCCTATCTGGAAGATAAGGGGGTCAGTTTTAATATTCAATTCCATACTTCACTTTTGACACATTATGGAATACCTTATACTCCTACTGACCTTTTTATATCCCCAGTGGCTTGAAGACTGGGTGCTCATTAAGTGTGAGCTGATTGCTCATTGTGGCCACAAACTGTAAAGTTGTCACTTCCTCAAAAAACTGGTCTTGCTTAGTTGTGGACCTGCCTAAAGTTGGGGAGATAGATGAAATATCTTGTCACGGATTTTCTGATCACCAGGCAATCAGAAGCGAGATACCCAAATGTACAAAACTGTAATTCAGGCCCACAGGCTCCTGACCACTAAGCTATCCAAGCACTAAAACCGTGGTTTTATTAAATCTATGTTTTTATTCTTTTGACAGACTTCTCAGCATGACACAACATAGTCTGAAGGGGAAACTCTCCTGCTCCCATGGAGGAGATCTCTCCCATCCTTGGAGAAACATGGAAGAAATCTGGAGCCAAGAAGACTCCAACAGTGGCGAAGTTAGACAGAATGATGAAAAGGTTTCTACTGGTTAACTGGTAAGCCACAGTTATTAGGGTTGGTGCCAAGCACACAAGCCTCCTCTCAGAAATTCCTCAAGTGTCTTGGTGCCCTGCTCCCTCCCAATGGGCAGCCCCCTAGTACAAATACACCAGGTCAAATCCCTACCTCAACTCCCCTTTTAGTACAGAAATCACTCATCTTCTTCTCCAATTTCACCCCTGCCAAAACAACATCTCCCACCCAACCCTAGTTGAAATGCTAGAACTTTCCCCTTATACTCTGTCTCCTGAACCCCTGAAATGCCTTAATTCTATAAAGTGGAACTCTTTATCCCTAATCTGTCTCTGACCCCCCCCGCAATGGCCCCAGGTCTGAATCCTGACCACCCTTCACCCTTCCTACAAACCCATGCCACAATCTTAACCATTCCCACCTCCCACTAAGTCCTGACACGGACTCTGACCTCCCTTCAGCTCCCCCCAAACCAGGCCCGAACCCTGACACCCTCCTGCCCCCGGCCTATACCCTGACCTAGCCCCCCACCACCACCACACACACCCCAGGCCTGAACCCTGACTCTCCCTTCCCCAGGCCTATACCCTGACCACCTCCTCAAACATCACCCCCCAGGCCAGAACCCTGAGCCCCTCGCCCAAAGCCAGTGCCCTCCCCACTCCCCGCCACACACACAGACAGACAGGCAGACACACATACACACACTCACACTCCCCTTCTCTCTCAGCGAAAGCCCTGACCCGCTCCGGCCCCAGGCCTCTCTCCTGACATCCCCCCTCCACACAGAGCCCTCCTTCTGCCCCAGGCCAGGACCCTGACCACTACACACACCCCCCGACCAGACATACACTCCCTGGCCCTGGAAGCGAGGGTCTCGGACTGTTGGCGGCTGAAAGGGAGAGGAGAGCAGGTTTGGGGGTGGGCCGCCCCCGTCGCGCCCCACTACCTGTCAGGGGCCGGGCTGCAGACTCCGCGGCCGCCCCCAACGGCGGCCACCGCCCAAGACCCCTCCCAAACCGGCCCCGCCCCGCCCCAACACACTCAGGGAAAGCTGCCCTCCATGCTGCCTCCCTCTCCGCCTCCCTCCACGCCGGGTCCTCGAGGCCTGCGGCCTACGGCTTCGGCCCGGAGCGAGGGCTGTACACCATTCTACGTGAAGCCCAACTCTAGGGCAGCTTCGAACCCGGAACCTAGTGGGCCAGGGCGGAGGAGCCATCAGGCAATGTGACGGACAGCCCCAGAGGAGGCGGGGACCTCCGAAGGAAGGCGCAGGCGCACTGGGAACTTGAAGCCATGGGAGGATCCTAATGGGAGAAGGAAGCGGGTGTGGGATAGAGCGCCCCTAGTGAGCGGAAGAGAGAAGAGGAGGGAGAGAAGGCGGGGTGGGGGCGGGCCCGTGGTTTTTGTCGTTGTCTCCTGGACCCGGGAGGGAGGGGTCTCGAGAAGGCGGGGCCTTGGCGTGGCCAGGACCCATCAGTCTAGCCTCCAACTGCCCTAAATCAATCAACCCGTCAGCAAACACTGAGCAAGTGCCCACAGTCTGTAGGGGGCGCTGTGAAGATCGCGCTGGACTTGGAGTCAAGGAGTTCTGAGTTCAAATGTGCCTCAGATGTCTGTGTCCCAGCTAGGTAACTCTGCACAAATCATTTGTCTTGTCTTGCCTCAGTTTCCCCAATGTAAAATGGGGATAGTAATAGACCCAGGTTGCTTACTAGAGGCATGACCTTGAACAAGTCATTCGTCCTCTGCCTCAGTTTCCCAATCTTTAAGATGGGGTTAAATAGCACCTATCTCAGGGTTGTTGTAAGGCTATTTGTAAAGTGCTCTACAAACCTCAAAGTACAAGGACACTGAAATATAACTGAAACTTGTCCCTTCCCTCAAGGATCTTACATTATATTGTGAGTTCCTTGAGGGCAAAGGACTATTTTTGCCCTTATTTGTATCCTCAGCCCATAGACATTGTCATTTTACCCTATGTCAAAGAAAATTCTGTATTCTGCTAAATTAGTGCAGAGCTATGGAAACTTTTTTTTTGAGGCAATTAGGCTTAAGTGACCTTACCGAGGGTCATCCAGCTAGTAAGTGTCTGAGGCAGAATTTTATCTTAGGGCCAGTACTCTATCCACTGTGCCACCTAACTACCCTTCAGAAATACTTTTGAAAGGGCAGCAAGGATGTAGCTGAAGGCATTCTTTCCCTAGGAGTCTGATGGAGTAGTGATAAGGTTTCCTCTATTCTGGTAAATCTGGGAAAGAACTTTAGATTGCAGAAATATGTATTTCTTAATCGCTTTTTTAAGAAAAAGGAAGCCTTGCTATACTTGCACACAGGGGAGAGAAACAGGTAGATAAAAAAGCATATATGACATTTATCCAAATAGTTACAAGGCAATACTTGAGTGGGGGAAGGAGTGGAGACACATTGGAGGAGAGACATCAGGAGTCTTCATGGGGAAAGTGGTGTTTGAGCTGAATCTTAAAGCCAAACTAGGGATACTAAGTATAGGAAAGGGGGAGAGAGAATTCCAAGCATGGAGTTCAGCCAATGCAAAGGAACAGACTTTACAAGAAAGTTGGTTTTGTTTTGTTTTTTAAACCAGTTTAGTTGAATCATAAGTATGTAAATAAGAGTCATGTGGATGTAGTATCCACTCTGGGCTGCTTTCCTAGCACTCACTGGGGACTGGCAGATTGGGTCCCCAGAGGATAGCTTCTACTTCTCCCTTCTGGTTCTATCCCCCCAATAGCAATTAAGTAGTTGGCATCAATTAGTTTTTATGAGGGGATAACTTGCTAAGTTACAAAATGTTCCTAAAAAAAAAGAACACGCACTGTATCTGAGGAAAAGGGCTCAAACTTAGAAAAGACAAAGGCAGTGAGGTACGCATGTGGGGAACACTTCACAACTCCTGGCTCTGGGAATCCTTTTCTCCCTTGGCAAAGCCCTCCATCAAGCTCAGTTTGGGATACAGTGTCACAATAGACAAAGTAGTCCCTCGCTCAGCTGGCCTGGCTCCTTCCAGAACACAGTGCCTTGGCTAACAGATCAAGACTTGTCTGGCCTGAGTCAAGCAGGTTGCCAGGCTGCTGCTCTGAATTGGTCGGACAGTACTACCAGCTCCAGCGGTTTCTGCTAACAGCTCTGTTTGCTGAGAGAGCCTTTTATGTCTCTTCAAGCAACCTTCTGAAGCTCCCAAGCTCACACTCTGGGTCAACATACTTCTGTTACCAGGTATCCATTCCCTAATATTAAGAAAGAATGGAATGCAAACAAAATAAGAAACAGTAGCAGCACCGAAGGTTTGTAGCCACAAGGCAGCTGGGTAAAGGATTGTCTCACTGGGCAGGGGGAGAAGAGAGAGATTTCAACATTTGAACCTTTTGTGCAAACTCCGTTCTGATTCAGCAGTCAATTGAAAAACTAGATTTGCAACAAAGTAAGCCAGCAGAAAACAAAACATCAGCTCTCAAAGTGTGCTCAGATGGTAACTGGGGGCTCCCCAAAACCCTTGCAGGGAGCTCTAGGTGGTCAAAGCTATTTTCAGAATAATACTAAGATGTTATTTGCTTATTAAAGTATTTCTCCCTTTTCCAACTACATATCTCTACAAGGCTTGATTTTCTTCATATATATTACTTCATGTACTTTCACCATAGACTTCATTTATTTCATATACACATTTTCTTCATATAAGCTTCATATACTTGATTGTTTTCATATACATATAACCAAAACAACATACCACAGTAGACTAAATGTAGAAGACGATATGAAAATTCAGCAGTCTTTTATCAAGCTAAACATTAAAAAGATTTACAAAAATATGTACCGTGCCATTTGTCTCTTAAATTTTTTTATTTTTATTTTCAGTTCCAAATTCTCTCCCTCGTTGCATCCCTTCCCCACAAGCATATGAAGTCATGCAAAACATATTTCTGTATTAGCCATGTTCTGGAAAAAAAATAATAATCATATTCTTAATGGGTGGGGGAAGGGCTGAAGGGAGGGAGAGAATTCGGAATGCAAAATATTAAAAATAAATAAATGATTTTTAGAAAGAAAGAGAGAGAGAGAGAGGCTTTGATCTGCATTCTGAGTCCATAATTCTCTGTCTGGAGGTGGATAGTGTTTTTCCTTATGGGTCTTTTGGAATTGTGGTGGATCACTGGGTTGATCACAGTTGAGTGTCTTTACAATATTGCTGTTACTGTGTAGATTGTTCTCCAGGTTCTGCTCCCTTCGTTTTGCATCTGTTCATATATGCCTTTCTAGGTTTTTCTGAAACCATCCTGTTTATCATTTCTTACAGCACAACAGTTTTCCATCATGTTTATATATCATAACCTGTTCAGGCATTCCCCAACTGATAGATATTTCTTTGGTTTCTAGTTCTTTAAAGACATTTTTCTCGCTTTTTTTTTTGCTTTGGAAAATATAGCTATTTTTCATTAAAATATGTTATTTATGTTAACATATAGTGGGTTTATTATTTTTAATTGAATAAATATGCTTTTAAAAATTTTCAGTTTTAATTGCCAATATGACAAATATTAATATATACAACCCACATAAATAATATTTCAATAATTTCTAAGAATACAAAGGGTTCCTGAGACCAACATATTTGAAAACCATTGAGTTAGAGTATAGTAGGTAGGTTCTGACATGGGAAAGGGAGGAACCCCTCCATAACTCACTTCCAGAAGCATGTGAAACTGATTTGATCTCCCTTTTTTGGACTCTGAATTGCCCTGACTGTTAAGGCAAATAACAGTGTTCAAACAGTTGTCAAGGCTCTTGTGACCACCTAGAACACAGCCCAGGCTGTGCTATCAGAACCTGTTCAAATTTACCAGAACTGGGTTAAGCCCACCTCCAGAAACCATCACTTCCCCTGCTTTTTTATCATATAGACTATCTCCCCTCTCAACTCCAGCATTTCAAGTGACTCCATGGTTAAAGTTAATAAACAAGTCAAGACCCACTGTTATGATCAACATATCTAGCTGCCCCTCCTAAGTGTATAAAGCCCTTGTTGTAACTCCCATCTTTGGGCACTCCTCTACACTGGTACAGGACTCCTTGGCCGCAATTAAGGACATTTTATATATTTGGTTTATTTTTACATTGACATATTTTTGGTGTCAGAAGTGGGATTTGTTGGAGACTGTCTCTCCTGGTACCAGCATGGACCTCTTGTGTCTGGTCCCAAGGCCCCTCCCATTGGATCAGTGAGTACCTGGTCACAGTGGAATCCCAGATTCCTGTCTCTTTTGGTTTAGTAGACTCTTTAATTGAGAATCTGGCAAAGACCCCTGGGCAACTGGGATATACCTTTTCTGGTCCCCCCAAGGTAACTGTGGCTGGTCAAATGGCTTTGCAGTATGCTTTGTACACTAGCAAGCTTTTGGAACATGGATAGTCATTGACAAAATCTGATCTTTGACACCACTGGCCACAGTGAGCATCCTTTAATAGGGATAAAATTGACTATTGAAGACATCTCTTGATAAGGCAGAGCCAAAAATCAAATGCCCTGAACGGGACTCCTTTTAATCAGTAGCTGTTATTGGGGCAGCTAGGTGGTGAAGTGGATAGAACACCAGCCCTGAAGTCAGAAGGACCTGAGTTCAAATCTGGCCTCAGACCAAATACTCTACACTTACTAGCTGTGTGACCCTGGGCAAGTCACTTAACCCCAACTGCCTAATTAAAAAAAAAATTTTTTTTAAAACCAGTAGCTGTTATAGACCATTAAGAGATAATCAGAATCACTGTGCTTGTTCTTCCGGAAAAACATTCAAAAACTTAAAGCTGAAAAAAAAGGAGGCTGAATCTAAAATATTTCTCCTCCAGGAAGGATTAGATCAGTTAGAATATCAAAAGAAAGAATATGAATCTAAAATAGAGAGTCTCTCAGGGAACAGGAAAAACCTGAGGGAGGGGTGTAAGAAAAATCTCAAAAAGAATTTCCTAGGCTCTAATAAATGTCTCTCCATCTTTTACCTCCTCTCCTCTACCATTCACCAATTCCCTTTTAAAATTAAAAGGGATGATGGTAAAGGACCCTGATGGCAGTGTACCCCACCCCCCGCCCCAGACTCAGGCCAAAGTCTGGGAGATGGCCAAAGAATTTCCCAGGTTTCAAGAAGACCTCTCAGAGTTTATTTGAGAATTTCTGTCAGTCCTTTCCACTTGCTTCCCAGGCCTCCCTCATATTTATCAACCAGCCCAGGTCCTTATTGGGCTTGGAGAAGACAACCACTGCTTCTGCCCAATGGAGTGACCCACTTGACCTTATCACTTATATGTTTTGGAAGGAGGAATCCCTTCCAAGAAACACATGGAAAAGGGGGTAAAAGAAGGACATGCTCTTTTAGAAGCAATCCCTAAAGTATTCCCTAAGTCTGTTGACTGGAACCAGAACCCCACTTGCCACCAAAACATCAGAGAGTTCATTGTTGAGCTCTAGAATCATTTCCTAGCCTCCTTTAGGCTGAACTCTGGTATTTCTCCAGAAAGCCCCGATACCCTTGTCGCTTTTTGGGGGGGGGAGGTATTTTAAATAGTATTTTATTTTTCCAACTATGCGTAAAAACAATTTTAAACTTTTAAAAAATTTCTATAATTTTTAAATAAAATTTTGAATTCTAAATTTTCTTTCTCCCTAAGATAGTAAGCAATTTGACATAAGTTATATATGAGCAATCATGTAAAACATATTTCCATATAAATCATGCTGTGAAAGAAGAAACAGAACAGAAGGGAAAAAATAAAAAAAATAAAAAGTGAAAATAGTATACTTTGATCTGTATTCGGAGTCCATCAGTTCTTTCTCTGGATGTGGATAGTATTTTCCATCATGAGTCTTTTGGAATTGTCTTGAATCATTGTATTGCTGAGAAGAGCTAAATCAATCATATCTAATTATCTCACAATGTTGCTATTATTGTTACTGTGAACACCTTGTCACTTTTAATTCACTTCAGAAACCTTTAAAGGGCTGATCTAGCAGAAGAGGAAATTTAGGTTGATAGACCACCCCCACTTCTAGTCTTGTCAATTTGGCTTCCCGGTTTCAGGCCACTCTCACTGAGGAAAAAGCCAAGGATCTGCAGTTGCAACAATTCCAGCAAAGACGACTGGCTGGATTTCCCAAACCTTCTTCCCCAGCCCTTCAGCTCCCCCAGGGTGATTAATCTATAGATCCAGTTTGTTTCTACTGTAAGAAACCTTGCCACTAGAAAAATGAGTGTTGTTCCATCCCATGAAAGCTGCAATGCTTGTTCACTACTCCTCCCCAAGACCCCTCAAGAGATCTCCCTCTAAAAATCCTAACTGGACCAAGAATGCCCAGCAATGATGGGGCTCCGAGGATTTTGAGGGGGTCTTTTCTGTGGTGTCAGCTTCACCAGTGGGCAACATTCCCATCATAATTACCTCTCAGGCTGTTAAGATCCCGGTTGATGCTGACAACACTCTTTCTGTTGTAAGCTCCGCTAATTCTCCCAACCCTCTCTCTTGGAGTCTCAAAAAGATTTCTATAGTGGGGATCTTTATGTACAGTCTGTCTTCCTCTCTGAGCCTCTTCGCTTCACATCCTTTTATCCTATCCCCCGCTTCCCTTGTTCATTTCTTAGGACATGAATTAAGGCATGAAACTCACAAAGCTGCCATTGCTTTTGCCTCTCCCCATGAAATCCTTCTTTCTTTTACAATCCCAGGCCTTGAAACTTTCCTACCCCACACTCTATCAGCCCTCCTCCCACTTTGAAGGAGGCTCCATCTTCCCTCTGGGCTTCCAAGAATACTGATATTGGCCTAGCAATTCCAGATCTTAAATTGTATTATAAAGCAACAATCATCAAAACTGCTTGGTACTGGCTAAGAAATAGGGAGGTGGATCAGTGGTTAAATATGCAAGACACAGTAGTCAATGACTATAGTAATCTATTATTTGGTAAACCCAAAGACCCCAGCTTCTGGGATAAGAACCCACTCTTTGAAAAAAACTGCTGGGAAAACTGGAAAAGAGTATGGCAGAAACTAGGCATAGACCCAAATCTCATACCATATACCAAAATAAAGTCAAAATGGGTTCAGGACTTAGATATAAAGGCTGATACCATAAGTAAACTGGGAGAACAAGGAATAGTTTACCTATCAGATCTATGGAGAACAGAAGAATTCATGACCAAACAGGAGATAGAGAACATTATGAAAAGCAAAATGGATAATTTTGATTACATTAAATTGAAAAGTTTTTGCACAAACAAAGCCAATGCAACTAAGATCAGAAGGAAGGTAGAAAATTGGGAAAGAATTTTTACAACCAGTCTTTCTGATAAAGGCCTCATTTCTAAAATATATAGAGAATTAAGACAAATTTATAAGAACACAAGCCATTCCCCAATTGATAAATGGTCAAAGGATATGAATAGACAGTTCTCAGATGAAGAAATTAAAGCCATCTATAGTCATATGAAAAAATGCTCTAAATCGTTATTGATTAGAGAAATGCAAATCAAAACAACTCTGAGGTACCACATCACACCTATCAGATTGGCCAACATGACAAAACAGGAAAATGATAAATGTTGGAGAGGATGTGGGAAAATTAGAACACTAATACATTGTTGGTGGAGTTGTGAAATGATCCAACCGTTTTGGAGAACAATTTGGAACTATGCCCAAAGGGCTGCAAAAATGTGCATACCCTTTGATCCAGCAATAGCACTTCTAGGGCTATATCCCAAAGAGATCATACAAATGGGAAAAGGACCCACATGTACAAAAATATAACATAGCAGCTCTTTTTGTGGTGGCAAAGAATTGGAAATTGAGAGGATGCCCATCAATTGGGGAATGGCTGAGCAAGTTGTGGTATGTGAATGTAATGGAATACTATTGTGCTATAAGAAATGATGAAC